ATGCAACATCTTGTTTCTGTAGTTATCCTTCTGGTATAAACCAACTAACACTCAAAAACACACACACACTCACAGACACACACATACACAAACCTGTTAAATCAATATTGCATCCCCGTATTAAACACACTGCCACCTCGTTACTGCTGTGTGTGTGTTGGTTAAACATTGTGCACATAAATATTTAAGAAGTCGATATTGGATCAGATCTGATTAAACTAAACTGTAACACACCTACTCCTCCTCCTCCTCATCTGCTTCTTGCCCCTCCTCCTGCACCACTTTCTCCTCCTCACCTGCAGGTCTCTCCCAGCTTCGAGCCTCCCTCAGCTCCTCCCTCAGCTCCTCCTCCACCGCTCTCCTCTGCAGCTCCTTCTCCTTCTGGATGAGCTCCTTCTGCAGCTGAAACACATATTATACATACATATATACATACATACATACATACATACATACATATATACATACACACATACATACAGAATATATATATAGCACTTTCACTAGAGATTAGCTCATGAACATTGGGGGAACTTCCAACTTTTCTTTGTTTTTCTGTTGAATTACTGGGAATTCTCCTCTAAGGTGCACTCAGCTTTACTCACGCAGTGAAATGCTGGCGGAGAGGGAAGCGAGCCGGCGTGGAAAACCACTTAGTTGGGTCCCACCTAAAAACCCTCACCGACCCCCTCCTGGACCCCTTGCAGTTCGCCTACAGAGCCAACAGGTCTGTAGGCGATGCTGTCAACACGGCCCTCCACTACATCCTCCAGGATCTGGACTCCCCCAGCTCTTCTCCCTGTACACCAACAGCTGCACCTCCAGTCACCAGTCCGTCAAGCTCCTGAAGTTTGCGGATGACACCACCCTCATTGGACTGATCTCTGGTGGGGACGAGTCCGCCTACAGGTGGAGTCTGACCATCTGGTGTCGTGGTGCAGTCAGAACAACCTGGAGCTCAACGCTCTAAAGACAGTGGAGATGGTTGTGGATTTCCAGAGGAACAGAGCCCCACCCTCCCCCATCACCCTGTGTGACTCCCCCGTCACTATTGTGAACTCCTTCCGTTTCCTGGGCTCCATCCTCACCCAGGACCTCAAGTGGGAGCTGTACATCAGCTCCATCACCAAGAAGGCTCAGCAGAGGTTGTTCTTCCTGAGGCAGCTGAAGAAACTCAACCTGCCAAAGACGATGATGGTCCACTTCTACACGGCCATCATGGAGTCCATCCTCTGCTCCTCCATCACCGTCTGGTACGCTGCAGCCACAGCCAAGGACAAGGGCAGGCTGCAGCGTGTCCTCCGCTCTGCAGAGAGGCTGATCGGCTGCAATCTGCCGTCCCTGCAGGACTTGTTCGCTTCCAGGTCTCTGAAGCAGCTAAAAAGATGGTAGCCGACCCCTCTCACCCCGGACAAGACCTGTTTGTGCCCCTTCCATCTGGCAGGAGGCTGAGGTCCATCAGGACTAAGACCTCCCGCCACACCAACAGCTTCTTCCCGTCGGCAGTCGGGCTCATCAACAGAGCCGGTCCCCCACTGACTGACATCCCTTATTCCACCAGTCACTCCTCTGCACATTACTTCACACTCCATATGTATATACACTTCACATACACTCACAATACAGTTGTGTAGTGTCTGGTTATCTTATCCTGTGCACTTCATTTTTATCTTTTTTAAAATTGTATTCTTAAATTCCTCTAGTTTATATTCTTCCATCATGCTGTATATTTAAATTGATCATGTCATATTTTCCTGCACTGTGTTATTTGTCTCATTGTCCAATGCTATGCACCACCCCGCCATGTCAAACTCCTTGTCTGTCTAACATACTTGGCAATAAATGTTCCTGATTGCTGACGGATTCCAGCATGTGTTCAGTAGTGAGGCTCCCTGTTAATGAGGTAAAGTGGTCTAGCACAAAAAATACTTTTTAATCTGTAAAGACTGGTTTTGTTTTGAAAAAGAGAAAAAAAACACAGTTGAGTACTTCAGTGATACAGGTTGAGCAGTTTCACAATAAATAAATCAACCAATCAAATTAACTTCATTTCTACTTTTTTATCCATCCCTCCGACCTCAGACTGTGTGAGTCTGCATGTCGTCACTGAGTCGGTGCTCGTTGTAACGTTTCACACATCTCGTGTGTTGTCCTCACGCCGCGTGTTGCTGCGTGTTCAGAGGCTCGTACCCGCCTCATTCGCTGCCATTCTTCTTCATGCTTCATTCTTCTTCGTTGGTTTGTCCACAGTCCTTCTGCACGCCGCATCAGCGTAGTCTGCACAAGTCTCTCCACTGGTGGTTTGTAGCTAGAGGGCTTTAACCGCTGCGTGGCGCTTCAAGTAGTACTTCAGGCTCGCAGTACTTCAGGCGCGTAGTACTTCAGGCTCGTAGTACTTCAGGCTCGTAGTACTTCAGGCGTGTAGTACTTCAGGCTCACAGTACTTCAGGCTCACAGTACTTCAGGCTCACAGTACTTCAGGCTCGCAGTACTTCAGGCTCGTAGTACTTCAGGCTCGTAGTACTTCAGGCGCGTAGTACTTCAGGCTCACAGTACTTCAGGCTCACAGTACTTCAGGCTCGTAGTACTTCAGGCTCGCAGTACTTCCCAATGCTCAAAATGAAAGGCTGATCAAATCATTTTCGCCTTTCACACATTGCCATGTTAAAGCATTGATGGCGTGTTGACGTGCCATTGATGGCGTGTTGACGTGCCATATATATATATATATATATATATATATATGCACACCACTTTCCCTGTTGGGGTGGTGGGCAGTGAGTTCCCATGAGCCTCTTGGCTGCTCCTCTGATTCATCTCCTTCTTGTCTTCTCGGGAAGATGGACTTCATGGTGCTCTGTGAGATGTTCAATGCTTGGGATATTCTTTTATAAGCTACCCCTGATTCATACTTAGCTGAGCTGTTTGGTCTCCAAGATGCTCTTTGTTCGGCAGCGCGCTCTAACACACTCTGAGGCCTCCACACAACACGTTACCACGTTAACCCTAACCCCACACAACACGTTATCACGTTAACCCTAACCCCACACAACACGTTACCACGTTAACCCTAACCCCACACAACACGTTACCACATTAACCCTAACCCCACACAACACGTTACCACGTTAACCCTAACCCTAACCCCACACAACACGTTACCACGTTAACCCTAACCCCACACAACACGTTACCACATTAACCCTAACCCCACACAACACGTGGATTTATGCTGAGATTAAATAGCAGACAGATGGACCCTGTTTACTGATAATGTAACTTATGGTTGAATATATGTGTGTATATATGTACCTTCTTGTTGGTTTCTCTCAGGCTCTCGAGCTCCGTCAGTAACAACGAGATGTTTTTGTCTCTTTCAGAAGTCTGAAGCGGATCGGACGCTGTGATTGGACCAAACATTACATCCCGATGAAAGCTGGAGGAGACAATCAGATTAACATCAAATAATGAAGTACACAGTGAGCAATTATCTGCTATCTCTGCATGGCATTCCAACATATTAAAGCATCTATTTTCAGAACATTAATATCTCATTACGCAATTACTATCTTAAGAACAACAAGAAAATAATGTTGTCTCTCTCACAGCTTCATCCTCTGGGGCATGAGAGTGCATGTGAGCGTGCCTTGTGTCATATGTGAGTGCACAAGAGCGTGTATTTTAGTGCACGAGAGCGGGTTAGCTCTGTTAATACCATTCGCCAGATCGCCTTTGACATTTTGAGAAGAGGGACAGGAGGACAAGTAGTGAGAGGAAGATGAGGAGGGAGAGGATGATGAGGAAGAGGAGGTAGATCTCCTCAAGGACTACTGTAATTAACTCTTCACTGGGATCACAAGAATATCCTGAAACTACAATGCATCCAAACAAACATGAGCACGTAACACCGTCCTACACTCACTCCACTGGCTCCTTGTCACATACCAGATCCACTGCAAAGTTCTACTACTCACTCATGAATGCGTCTCTCTATCTGCAAGAACTACTCCCCAAACCTCCACCCCACCGGGTCCCAAACACCAAGCTGCTCACCACGGGCGACCGGGCCTTCTGCTCGGCACCACCACGCAGGTGGAGCAGTCTCCCTGAGCCCCTGAAGGCAGCACGCTCACTGCATAAGCTACTTAGTTTTACTGGCACTGAGATCTGCTGATAAAGAGTGTGTTAGAAATAAAATGTACCATCATTATTAAGACAAGGAGGGAGAGGAAGGAGATGACGGACAAGAGGAAGAGAGAGAGGATGAAGAGGAGGAAGACAAGGAGGGAGAGGGGTAAGAGGAGAAAGACGAGGCGAGGAAGACGAAGACTAGGTGTGAGAGGAGTGAGGAAGAGGCAGAAGAGGAGGGACAGGAGGGAGAGGAAGAAGAAGGGTGGAGGACGAGAAGCATGATGAGGACGAGGAGGATGGGAAAAAGGAGGGAGAGGAAGAGGTTAATAAGGAGGAAGAGGAGGAACAGGACGAGGAGGGAGAGGAAGACAAGGAGGAGGAAGAGGAGGACAATGAGGGGAGGACAGGTGGGGGAGCAGACTCTTTGTGGTGGTGAGTGGGGCTGTGAATGGTCGGGACCCTGTGACATCATTTCATTAGGTCAGGTGTTTTAACCTCACATTAGAGACGACGCAGAGACGAAGGCGTCACTTTATTAAGCAGCTGCTGCCTGTAATTCTCTCATATCACCTTAAAGGTCAGACGGCGTAATAAAGCGAGTAAATAAGACACTGTGTCTTTTATAATATCAGCGGCTTCTAATCAACTCTGCTATCGTGCTATTTCCGTCGTCCTCATCTAACTTAGCTAATAAAATCAAGTCTAATGTAATAGGTCACATTTCAAACTGCTTCACACAATTCATCTGAAAAGCATCTTAAAGAAGAAGAAAAATTAAAGAAAGTAATGAAAAAATAAACTTTGAATAAATGTCCTCTAAACATTTCAGATCAATATTCTGAATGTAATGAAATATTCAGGTGTTTAATAATCTTGTTGAGTCTCACAGATGGAACTGGTCATCATTCATAAGACACGTTTAGACTCTAAAACGCTGCACTTCTGTTCTGACTGCATTGTTTAGGTTTTATTATTTTAAGTGCTTTAAATTCCTGTCACTATCTGCTCAGAGAGCACATGATGCTTACCGAATAACAACTGTGAGGTTAGTCAAGCGTTAAAGCACGTTCAGTAAAAGTACCCCAACCACTAACCCGCTAACTGCTCACCCACTAACTGCTCACCAACTAACCCGCTAACTGCTCACCCACTAACCCGCTAACTGCTCACCAACTAACCCGCTAACTGCTCACCCACTAACTGCTCACCAACTAACCTGCTAACTGCTCACCCACTAACTGCTCACCAACTAACCCGCCAACTGCTCACCCACTAACTGCTCACCAACTAACCCGCTAACTGCTCACCCACTAACCCGCTAACTGCTCACCCACTAACTGCTCACCAACTAACCCGCTAACTGCTCACCCACTAACCCGCTAACTGCTCACCCACTAACCCTCTAACTGCTCACCAACTAACCCGCTAACTGCTCACCCACTAACTGCTCACCAACTAACCCGCTAACTGCTCACCCACTAACCGCTAATCCCTGAATATAATCTGTGTCTTTAGGGCCCGAGGTGAGCCTTTGGATCCCACCTGTCATCAGAGCTGACTGGGGGTCTTCTGAGGACGGGACTGCCAGGACCTCTGGATGCTCCTCCTCCATCAGAGACGCTGCCACAGCTCTCTGGCTGAGGGGGAAGGTCCAGCTCCATCAGTCTTTTACCTCCCGGAGGTGTGAAGGTAGATGGTGAGACAGACCTCCTGTGGGAGAGGGGTGAGACAGGAGGGCCGAGAATGTCTGCGACCTTCGGACAAAAGGTCCACAAGTTAGCTGGTAACTACACGGAGTGACACTGGAACGACACGTAGTAGAACTTGTAACATTTAGTATAACGTGTGAGTAACATGACAGTAATATGTAGAGTACAATGTAGGGAATATTAAGAATAACACGTAGTATAATTTGGAGAGCATCATCATCATACATCATACATGTGAGTAACATGTAGAATACCACATGCAAGTAATATTTGTAATAATGTTGTATAATTTGTGCATCCTAGAATAACATGTTGGTAACCTTTGAAGTTCCATGTGCATTATGAATATGATGATATGCTGGAGCTATTTCAAAATGAGATTAATAGACCATAAGGGCTCATGTAAAGTGAAATGAAATGTCTTATTTGAAAAGAAAGCACTCTTTAGGTCCCATAAATACCCGTTGCTAACTGACCCTGACTAATACGAGACCTGTCAGGGCCTCTGAGCGGCGGAGGTGAGGGAAGACGCTGTCGCAGCTCCTCCTTCACTCCGGGATTATCTGAAGAAATAAGAACAGACTCTGTTAACATCTGTCTCTATTCATTAGAAATCAATCATTCGCTAGCAGTAATCCTGTCGTTGTGAAGAGCTTTCTAAATACTTGTAGTTCATCAGCAGAGCAAACACACCTCTTATATCCCGTTAAGGCCTCGTTGTGGCCAGCTAGTGGCTCTCATTAAGAGCTTTAATTACAGCAGGCGGAAATGTCAAACGCTTATTACGTCAAAAGTAAACAATAAGCACAGACAACTCTTTAACAGGTGTGTGTGTGTGTGTGTGTGTGTGTGTGTGTGTGTGTGTGTGTGACAGGCAGCGCTTCATGTGGTCCACTAATCACGTCATCGTGAAGAGAAAAAGCCGATGATCTTTGACCCCTCTGTTTGTAAAGGTCGGATCATTCAGATCGTCAGAGAAGAGCTTTGTATGTATGTGTCTTCAGATGTCCTCACCTGTCTTCAGGACATTCTCACTTCTTCAGATTTACATTAAATTGAATGCATTACATGCTTCTACATGACATTTCATTTAGCTGATTCTTTTATTCAAAGCGAATTACAAACTGCTATTGTAATCACTTGTCTTCAGACATCTTTCAGTGTCTTTGGATGTCTTTAGATTTGCTCACTTGTCTTCAGACGTCTTCAGACATCTTTCAGTGTCTTTGGATGTCTTTAGATTTGCTCACTTGTCTTCAGACGTCTTCAGACATCTTTCAGTGTCTTTGGATGTCTTTAGATTTGCTCACTTGTTGTCAGATCTCTTCACGTGTCTGGTTCCGGCCCAAATAACTCCTGAAGAGTCATCGGTACTTGTCCTGTTTCTTGATTCCTGGCCCTGGTCCTGGTTGTAAGACCTGGTCCCGTTTCCTGGTCCTGGTTGCTAGTCCTTGTCCTGTTTCCCGTTTCTTGGTGCGATTTAGTGGTTCTGGTTCTGCTGTATTACAGTTGTGGAGTAGTTGAAGTTGTCACTGTCACCCCCCCCCCCTCCGTGGACTCAAAGCTAATTGAGCTTCTTATTATTCATGTACAATTACAGAAGTGATAATGTGATAAATCCTCCTAAATGACCATTCATGCCTCGCTCTCCCTTTGAAGTCTCCTCAAAGAAGAAGAAAGGGAAGCACGAAGGCCAATCAGAGGCCCACACCACGCCAGCCAATCAGGGAGGCTTCTGCCTGTAACATCCACTAAAGTCCATTAATTTTTTAAGCTGTATTTAATACATTTTGAGTAGAAAGTTCTGTGAAAAGAGAGTCGGGAGTTCCAGCTGACTGCATGAATATTAATGACGGTGTTATGATGATTAAAGAGGCTTCAGCTCAAATCCGTCACAATCCGCCTGTGATCCGCCCGGCGACACGCCGCCGCCGCCGCCGCACATGAATTTAGATACGGACATTAAGCCCGGGAGGCGCACCCACACATATATATGTGTGTGTGTGTGTGTGTAATATATATATATATATAACCCTACACACACACACGATAATGTGTGTGTGTGTGTGTGTGTGTGTGTGTGTAATATATATATATATATATATATATATATATATATATATATATAACCCTACACACACACACAATAATGTGTGTGTGTGTGTATATATATACACATAAACACACACTATATATGCCACTTTATTAGGTCCACCTTGCTAGTAAAAGTTGAACCTCTTTCACTTCAGAACCGTCTTACTTGTTGGTGTCATATAATGTTAAACAGTTGCTGCAGATTTCCATGATGTGAATCTTCGTCCCAAAAACTGAAATGTCAACTGATGTCGCGCAAAATCTAACCTGTTACTTTGAGTGCGCAGTGATATGGATCACTCGGGTCAACGTGAACCGGTACTTTACATTATCGCTGAATAATGCACACCCCTGACTCACTCTCAACCAATCAGAACGCTGGCGTCGACGCACTGGTTTCACTTCCTGGTTGTAAAGTCCTGCGTGTGTTGCAGAGCGATTCACCTCCAGAACAACAGGTGGAGTCACGTGTTTTGTTGAAGACGACCTGGAGAGTCACGTCTGTGTGTGTGGAAGTCGCTGGTTGCTTTATTTATTTATCACAGACTTTATTGCCCCGTGCATCCACACTGCTGCTTTTCATCAAGGACACATTTGTCCCGTATTTTCCTCCACGACTTTGTTCCCTCGTTTGTGGAGATCTCCCTCCATGAATCAGAGGCCATCCGGCGTCCTCATAGTCCGCCAATGACGGCTTGTACAAGCGCTCATATTTAAAAGCTCTTCAATCTGATCCGTTCTCTCGTAAACATTCTTCCTTTTAATAACGGCCGTATTGTGCTGTGAAAACGGAGACGTGAGACTCCGTAAAGGACGTAGTCAGAGACCAATCACAGCCTGCTGCTGCAGGAGGCTGCGTCGCTTTACACGCTAGTCTAGAAAAATGGGTCGACGCACGCAAGGAGGTGTGAAAAGACACGCAAGGGACACGCAAGGGACACGCAAGGGACACGCAAGGGACACGCAAGGGGCTCTTGCGTCTGCGTCGCTGTGAAAACGCAGAAACACAAACCAGGCTTGAGTTTCCTGTTAGCTGACCGGAGGAGCTCCTGCTGTGGTCAGTCTTCTTCAAGGTTCCCCGTGTTGTGCGTTCAGAGATGGTGTTGTGGGTTCCTTGGTTGTAACAAGTGGTTCTTTGACTTCCTGTTGCCTTCCTATCTTGTGGAACCAGTCGGGCAGTTCTCCTCTGACCTCTCACATCAACAAGGCATTTTGTCACACAAAGGCTGCTCACTGGATATTTTCTTTTTTGGACCATTCGGTTTGGACAAAAGTTGCCTGGTCTACACATTATATATCTACACAGGGAGAGTTTATAGTTCATTCACAGACCGATCAGTGATCACATCCTGTGAAACATGAAAATCATAAAACAAATCATTGGACCCTCAGACAGCATCTGATTTGTTTCATATTTTCATCATATGGCGTTCATGGCGAATGCTCTTCTTCAACTGTCTAGCGCCTCCCTCTGGAGATATGTATTTGTTGTTGTCTTTGTTCTGCTGAATATCAAATAGAATAAGTCTATTACAGACCAGAATGCCCTGTCACGTCACCATGGTTACAATATCCTGCACAATGGAACTCAAATAGAGAGGAGCATGGTGATGATGTCACCTCCTCCTGGAACTTTGATTTATCCTTATTTATCAGAGCCGACCGCACACACGCGCACGCACACGCACACACACACACACACACACACTGGTCAGTAGATTATTTTTAATGACAGATCAAGATGACAAAGGATGAGAGTGAATGAGTAGAAAGAGGGAGGAGACGTCGTGTGAACTGTCTGTTAATCTGCAGAGTGGGTGGTCTATACGGACACACACACATTGCTGTCTATACGGACACACACACATTGCTGGTCTATACGGACACACACACATTGCTGGTCTATACGGACACACACACATTGCTGTCTATACGGACACACACACATTGCTGTCTATACGGACACACACACATTGCTGTCTATACGGACACACACACATTGCTGTCTATACGGACACACACACATTGCTGGTCTATACGGACACACACACATTGCTGTCTATACGGACACACACACATTGCTGGATGAGGTTGATTCTGGTGTGTTTGAAGTAGCTGCTATTAATCTCTGTGTAGGAATGTGTGTGTACGTGTGTGTTTACAGCAGCTGCTCATTAATCAGAAACGTGTTGCTGTTATCTGTGGCAATAAAGTTTATTTAACAGTTTTAAAAGAGAATGTTTTTGGCTTCTTAACCTATTGTCAAGGAATTATTCCTATTATTCTCTCACAAATCGTTTGCCTTTTTGGGGCCTCTTTCATATTCAAAAAGTTGTTAAATTTGCATGCATGTCAGGACTGGTGAAAAATGTGATCATTTGAGTCTCTTATTGGGAAATGCTTTGGTTTGGATGGTCTGGTATGCAAATGCGGCAAACTAGATTTTCCGCCATTTTGAATCTTTTTTTTCTTATCCTAGACGCCGTGTCAGACTGTCACAAAACTTTCTGTGGATCATTATTGGCTCAATATCCCCCCCATATCGTGTTGATATCTTTTGAGAAGATATGGGCTAATGAACTTCACAAGTGGCTTAATCTGGCAAAACATACCATTTCCAAATGACTTTGCCTGCCCTCACAAAATGTGTTACATATATAAACATTAATACATAACACACCCGGTTTTGTATAATATTTGGAGACTGGGGGGCTCTGCAGTTAATCATTGATGATCTGCATTTTTAGCCTATTTTCATGATTTTTTTAGAGATGACCAAACTCCTCCCAGAGATTAAACCTGATTCTTTTCAAATTTGGGCAGTGTGATCTTGAGACGTTGGTCTTTAAAAAATGCATAAAGCTTGATAAATTATTAAACTATGTGCGCGCGAGTATCGGCAAAAAATAACACCATTCGCCGAGAAAATGTAAGTTGTTTTAACTCGACCTACATACATACTATCTAATGTGTAATATTTCTCATATGTCATGACCTCCTTACCCTGTAGACGTCCATACGATCATTTTTAATCCTAGTCATAGCGCCACCTGTGGACAACAGGAGGTTAAATGTTTTTTACTTTACACCCTGCTCCTCAGTCTAATCTGATCCCTCTCAAAAGTTGGCAGAAAAGACTAAAGACCTCGATAACGCGTCACGGCGAGCGGGAGCATCGGCAAAGTTGATCCTTCGCCAAGAACAAACCGTGGCACACACATTTAGAGCCAAAGATGTAGTTACCGGAGAGAATTTTAATGATTCAAAATGGCAATTCAGCTCAATAGGGCCATCTACAAATATTAATTTAAGCAGCCCTAGCACTACGTTTGACCTACAAGTAAACTGAAAAAAGTCTCTTGGGACCAAACTGTAGGCCATTTTTATGTTTACTTCAATTTTTTTACCCTGAGGGTTTTTTGGGCCTTTTTGTGGGTTTAATAGTTTTTCAAAAGTTGTTCAATTTGATAAGCACACCACAACTGGTGAAAGATTTGACGTTGTTGGGGTTCCGCAATTGGGTATAAAGAAATGCCCCCCTAGAAATTTGAAAAGTACCACATCAACCCATTTTTTTGCCTCGGATGCCAAATTGACTTGAAATTCGCAACATATGTGCTCTCGGTTATGCTCTACAAAAAAGTCAACCATGGCAATTAAATGCACCAACTTGAATTTAGTAAAAAAACACACTTGCCAACTCCTCCTACACACCGATTCCAATGCTCACAAGATTTTCTGCGTATAATAATTAGTTCACCGTCATCCGAAATGATATATAGCTTGTTGATATCTCATTATTTTTAGAAGATAGGGAACAATTAACTTCTAAGTGGTGTGTTTTTTTATGTCAAGACACAAATCTTGCAAATTACTTGGGCCAGCCCTCACCAAATTGTAGCAAATCTATATATTGCACCCTGAAATATTCACTAATATTTCTATAATATTTGATGACGAAAATGTAAAAGATAAGGTTTGCAAAGCGTCATTCCTGTTATTGTCCAAGGTGGTTAAGTATGACTGACTCGCAGACGCTTTGTCCGAAGGCGTTGTGGCAAATACCCCGACGTACGCAAATTCACCACATTACTATTACTGTCATCATAAACCAACCGACTTTGCTTTTTTCCTAAAGTGTTTGTGCTTTCCCTCCCTACAGGTTTCTGCAGATGGTGGTTCTACCTGATGGTGGTAGAACGTGGTAGAACTACCTGATGGTGGAATCATTTCTGTTATAGGAATTGAACGTATTGTACATCTTTTACATTCTTCATTCTTCATTCTGTACAGATCCATTACATCCATTGTAGTCTGTCCATCCCAGGAGAGGGACCCTCCTCTGACGTCCTCCCTAAGGTTCCCTTTTTTTCCCCATCAAAGGTTTTTTTTTAAAAGTTTTTTGGGAGTTTTTCCTGTGCTGATGTGAGGGTTTCGGGACAGAGGATGTCGCATGTGTACAGACTGTAAAGCCCTCAGAGGCAAATTTGTAATTTGTGATTTTGGGCTGTATAAAATAAATATAATATGTATATATTACATATACAACATATACTATATTGTAATATATAGTAGTATTAAATAGAATATGTATGATAATACAATATATATGATACCTTGTCCTCTCAGCACTGGGGTACCCCAAAGCTCTGTCCTGGGTCCCCTCCTCTTCTCTCTGTACACCAACTGTCTCGGCTAGATTATCCACTCACATGGTTTCTCCTACCGTAGCTATGCTGATGACACCCAACTAATCCTGTGTTTTCCCCAATCTGAGTCACAAGCAGCAGCACAAACCTCAGCCTGTTTGACTGGCATCTTAGTGGATGGACGGACACGACATTAACAACCTTGACAAGACTGAACTTCTTTTCCTTCCAGTGAAAGACTCCCCCACAAACAACCTTACTGTTACCTTTGACAACTCCGTCCTGATCCCACCCTGACTGCTAGGAACCCCGGTGTGACACTCGACAGTCAACTTTCCCTCACCCACAAGTTCCAGTAAATAGATGCTGCACCAGATTCAATCTGCTTGTTGCTCCCTCAGAGAGAGCTAAACACTCAACAACATCCCGACTGTTTGCTGTACTGGCTCCTAAATGGTGGAACGAGCTCCCAAATGACATCAGGACAATGCAAAACTTAGGACGACTTCCGACGCAAACTGAAAACGCACCTCTCCCGACAATACCTGGACTAGTTAGCACTTACGATGGCACCTACTTATAGCACGTTTGTGGCTTGGCTGTCTTGAAGAATTTGTACTTTCTTGATTCTTGTTGTTCTGGTCTGTTACCTCTTGATTGAATGCACTTATTGTAAATTGTAAATAGATGAAAATGTAATACATTATATCTTGTATTATGTAACGTTCACACCTTTAACTGAAGGAACCAGATGTTCACGTTATATCAAACATGTATTCAACTATTTGATCCAATTGACCAATATTCACCTGTATTAAGAAACAGGTGTGTGTGCTGATGTCCAGCCTTGTAAAAGGAACACAGCTCCTCCTGCTGGATAACACGAGTCACGACACCATTACATTAAACCCTAACGACCAGTCAAATGAATGTAAAGTAGTGATGAACTCAAGGCGATAAACATCCCGTGAGAACTGATCCTTGGGTACCAGTACAACCACCATTTACATGTTTGTCTGAAGAGTAGTAGTAATAGTAGGATTAACCTGAGTACTTGTACCCAGATTAAGTAGTAGTATTTTGTTACCTCTGTACATGTCCACCAGCGAATCCCTAAGCTCCTTGCTTGGTGTCCATGTTGGACTGGTCCTCTCTGGACTGGTTTCTCTGGAAATAAAAACAAACATTAAGATCAGAAACAAAAAGAGGAAATCCCAATTAAAAGAGTAAAAAACATGAGGGTCCTGAGGTGTGTTTCTCTCGCTCTCTCTCTCACATTCAGTATGTAATATGGGTAATAAATAAATATATATATATATATATGAACTCTTATTTGTTTTTCAATTGTTACAGATGAAATATTAAATATAATCTTACTTGTTGAGTTGTCTCTGGAGGTTATTGATCTTTTTCTTTGCTCGATTTAAAGCAAACTTCACATCTTCAGCTCTGTTTTTATTGCTCATTAATCTACGAGACGCCATGAACACACCGTCTCCTCACATACAGCTCTCCATGACAACGGCACCCTGTACAGCCTCCCAGCTATCGCAGCTGTGATTGGCTGAGAGTCACTCAGTATTGATGAGGTCACAGCATCGGGTTACTCGGCTGTTTGCTTCAGGACAATAAAGCCTGTCCCCTGCAACACACACTTTATTTATGTATTTTTTATCCTACCTACACACTACAGGTGTGTTCTGCGACAGGCAGTGTGAAATGTTCTGTTGGCTGTCTGGATATATGGACGCTCTATGTTATTGTTTGTATTTCTCAACAGCTGACACTGCGTCTCCAAAACAAATTTCCTTCAGGACAATAAAAATCAATGTATCAGAGCCAACATAATTGTTGGTATTATCCACCAATCCATCAGTTTCAATATGACATCCCTAATGATCCTCTAACCTGAGCGGCCACCACATTAATGTTGAATATCATTTCTTCCTCAGTTGTGACATCACACGAAAGGGCTGTTCTGATTGGTGCTCAGAAATGAACCCGGAAGAAAACGCAGAAAACATCTATTGATCAGTTGTGTTTATTCATTATTGATAGTAACTAATCATTATTGACGGTTATTTGTTGCTATTAGTTGGGTATTCTGTATTTGTCTCGGTGTCCTTCAACAGTCTGTCCAGCAGGACAACGTCCACTCGATGTTTCATGACAAACTGTCCATTCAGGTGGAAGACAGGTATGTCCCACCTGTACCTGTCGAGCCATTCTTTGTTCTCCGGGAGACTGATGTCCACCAGCTGTAAGACAAACTGCGCAGGGAGAGAGAGACAGGTCAGAGGGACACCTTTGAGAGACAGGTCAGAGGGAAAGTTCAGCGAGACAGGCCGGACCAACAGGTCAGAGAGACAAGTCAGGCAGACAGGTCAGAGGGATATGTCAGACAGACAGTGAGACAGGTGTGAGACAAGTACTGAGTCTCACTCTGTGTCTGAAGGGTTCCAGCTCTTCTTTAGCTTCATCACACAGAGGACAGGGATCCTACAAAGAGGAAAACTATTATACACAATAATTATTATAATAAACATTACTTTCCGTTGCCAATTAAGATTCATAGGAACTGAAATATAATTAATGTAAAATTACATTCTACATCGGATACAAGGAAAGAAACTGAACGCAGCTAATAACTTCAGCACAAATTATGAATGTATGGTGAAGACCATAAAGCAAAAGATTGTTGCTATGATCAATTATTACCTTGGTGAACAGAGTCAAAGTGGATAAAGTAGAAAACCGTCTGGAGATGTGAGGCCGTGCAGCAGCAGCCCGTCTGAGTAGAAACATTATTCCTGAGGAAACAAACTAAATGTTACTTGTGGCAGCGTTCCATTAGTGCCGTTTGTTACCAAGCCGTATTGAACAGCAGACACAGTTACTTAATTTCCTTATGTTAAGCACAGGAGATTGTTCAACTTGTTACTTATTTTTACGTGTCAAAGCGTTATCTAGATAATAGACAAATAATACATTGTCACTGTAAAATATTAATAATATTGTGCCTAATGCAGCTCTTCTGTGTTGCACCTGCTGCAATCATGACGTCAATAAATCGAGATACACAAGGAGCGTCAATCTATCAAAAATGCTTTTCAATATATTTGACGTATCTTTAGTTCCTCCACAAGGAGCATAATTCAAAAATGAAATTCTTAATATACCAAAGATTCAAATTAACTAATATATACACTTACTATTACATTACTCACCTCAAACATCGAGGCAGCTTCCAGTTGACCAATCACAGAGCAGGATGCAGCATCACAATGAAATATGTCCGTCTGTCCAATGAAGATGAAATTAAGTGATGACATGATGACAGGTAATCTGTCAATCAGCGTGTAGCGCCGCCCTAAAGCGTCCCCTCTTTATGGGGACTGTTTGACTCTAAATGGACCATAATTCACTAATTGAACATCACGCTGTATTGAAGACTTGAAACCAGAGACCATAAACTCATGTTTACACTGTTTACTGAGGGAATAAATCAAGAGAGAAGTAGAGTCATTTCCTCATAGACGTCTATGGGACCAGGGGCGTCGCCCCCTGCTGGTCACTGCAGAGAATGCAGCTTTAAGAAGAAAGATTAGTGAAACCGAAATTAGCCTACGAAATATTTCATGTTTCATTGATGCTTGATGATCAAAATCAGCAGTTTGTGCAGCAGCATATTGATCACTCCAATAAAGCACATCACGTTCAGCTTCCTGTTGTAGTTTCAATTACCTCCGACATACGCACACAGGTGTTCGCTTACCTAGCAGTTAGCCTGCTAGCTAACCTTCACTGAACCGGTTCTACAGACCCAAACCTGACAATAAACTCACCAGATTCAGTCGAACGGTCCGGGATCTCCTCCTGCTTCCAGCTGTTTAATAAGGATTTCTGGAAAAGTTTGAAGAAACTCCGACGAGACAAAAACCAACACACTACACACACTTGCTAATCCTCTCCTTTTCCTACTTCCGGTTTCTTCTTCTTCTACTTCCGTTGTCTTCTGTGGCTCAATTCCGCTAGGCTGCATTCTCCAGGACGCGTTCGTCAACCGCATACGTCACTTCCGCTGCGACTCGGCTGTCCAATCCGTTGGCTCCTCCGAACGCGGTCGAGGGACGCTGTCCTCCAGGAGCCGGTTTGGAGGACACATCTGATCTGTCCTTTGCGGCCCAGCATATCCCAGCATGCAGTGCGGGCCGACGAGGATTTCATTTCTTCAGGACGGAGGCGGGTGATGCGACAGCGCGGAAGAGTTCACTTAAAATGTAACGTTAAGTAATAGAATTCACTCCATTATCTACCGATAGAAATGTTATAATATAATATATAACATCACATCCTACTAGTAGTTATGAGTGAAAAGACACTTTAATGACTGAACTTTCCCACTTTAGAGGCTGATGCTGTGACGGTTTTATATATAATTTATACTTCATATAATGAACAGAAATGGATCAAAGTTATGAACCCGAAATATCACTTTCTAAGTCAGTAACGTTACAGAATAAATACACAAACTGAACTCGCTTTGCTCCTTTTGTTTAGTTGTGGGATTATAAACTAACTTTACATTTCGTTGTGTTTTATGGAGCAGAAGGCAGCAGCATCCCGCTGAAGGACACGATGTGTGGTGACATTCTGCTGCAGTAGCTTGGACCTCTGCAACATCTTAAGTTAGTTCAAATAGCTCGTCTCCTATGCAAAAGAAAAACAAGAAGTCCTTGTTAATAAATGTGTTTGCAGAAGATTATCTTCTCTATCGGTACGTTCTACGTTTTTCAGCTTTTAAGGTTGCTAGGCAACTTGAGCAGCCAAGAAGTCCCCCTCACCCCCCGTAGGACAGACCGTCCCATCTCAGAGACTGGGTTAGCCTATGCGGCCCAGGTCTACTGCGAAGGCTGGAGGCTACAAGACAGATTCACGAGCATCACCCGTTTCATGATTGAGGTCTTGCATTAGGGTAAATCCTGGGGTGCCGGTGGTGCAGGGGTAGAGCGGGTGCGCTGGGGTTCAAGCCCCGGCTGCTCCTTGTCCCATGTTGAAGTGTCCCTGAGCAGGACACCTGACCCCTAATTGCTCCCCGGGCAAAAATGTGAAAAAGCCATGGGTTTAAAGTGTAATGTAAGTCGCTCTGGATAAAAGCGTCTGCTAAATGACCTGTAATGTAATGTAATTAGTGGCATAAAATGGTCTGAAAATTACAATAGTTTTATTGCAATTAATAATCAGTATTGTAAAAAGCCGCGGGTTAAAAATAAAAGCCTGAGCTAAATGACCTGTAATGTAAATATCAGCGGAACAGGACTTCGCGTGACATATTTTGTTACCATGGCAACGTCTGGTCACCCCCTGTTCATTATCTCATCACAATAAATTAAGAGTAATTCTCATGAGCAAAGTTGTTCCCAAACCTTTTCTGTTGAGCGCCCTTTGATGATATAGGGACGGGTCGTTTGTTTTAAATTCATTGCATTATAATATATAAACTTATATGAACGTTTTTCTTTCTAAAAGAAGTACATATTACCTCACTTTTCCACATCGTTTTTTTTTTAAATGTATTTTACTGAAAATAAAATAGCAATAACATGTAGGACAGACCGAGTTCATGTCAAGTCTTTTTATTTCTTAGGTGCAACTATATAATATAGTTCCCTCTGCCTACAACTTGTTTGTTATAGTTTTATATTGTTTTACCAGTGTGCAACGGAAATAAAAAAAAGTCACAGGTCCTGTTTCTTCTTCTTCTATTCCTACTTCCAAAAGTGGTGTAATAACAAATCAATTTGATCTTCAATTTTATTTTGTCACTTTTAACATTTAAACTGTGCAAATGAATCAAATTCTGTCACCGAAAATACTCAGAAACCACAGAGGAACCCAACAGACATACTGGGAGCCTAAACTGGAAAACCATACTGGGAAGTCATATTGGAAACTCATTCTGGGAACTTATACTGTAATACAATGTTGGGAAATGCAGGCAACTCATACTGGGAGAAACTGGAAACTACTTCAAACTCATACTGGCACATATTGGAAACTTTTACTGGGAACTCATAATGGGAACATATACTGGGAAATTACTGGCAATGCATACCGGGGAAACTACTGGGACCTCATACTGGGAACCTATACTGGGACGCACTGGGAACATATCCTGGGAATTTACACTGGAAACTGATCCTGGGACATCTTTACTGGAAACTTCTACTTGGATCTATGAATTGCCCCACTGACACACTGGACATCATTCTGGTTAATCTTACACTAGCTCTGCTGGTTCATACTGGGTCCTACGGGACCTCACTGGGCCCTACAAGTCTTCACTTTTTTGTAGTGGATCCTGCTGGTCTCTACCGGTCTGCTGAGCTACTCTGTGGATGAAGTGGATTTCTCAGCATACTTTGGTAAACAGGTAATAAACAGGACGTAAAACTTGATGCACAGCATCAGTAATCAGCAACAATGTCTCACTGTGGAGGACATGCTGGCTGATAACACCATGACGAAGTCATGGCAACACTGATATTTTCTCACACACACACACACACACACACACACACACACACACACACACACACACATAAACTTATATAGTTCTTTAGTACATCAGCCAATCAGAAGAAGACCTGCCTTCCGATCTCTGTAAAGTTCACTGATTGGCTGCTCCGGTCTGTTCCATCCTTCTATTGTTGCTCTCAGATGGACACAACTCCTTCATTATCACTGATCCTTCCCATGATCCTTTCCTCTACTGGACGTGGGCAGGTGAGCAAATCTGACCGGCGCGGTGGTGTCCTCACGGATCAGGAAGGTCAGAGGTATCCACTGTAACCTGTCCAAACCAGTCAACACAGACATTGATCAATAAGGAGAAACACCCCCACTATGAGTCCTACCTCAAGGGTTGGTCCCCAGATGTCTGAGACTAGTCCCTGTACCTCTAAAAATAGTCCCCAGACCGCTTTAACTTCTCACAATATCTCTACTCATATCTTAGATCTCTGCAACTAGTGTCCGGGCCTAGAGTTGGGTCTCATCACCTTGATGAAGATGGTGTCGTCTTTGATGTAGGTGCCAGTCTCAAGAACACTCTGAGAGACAAACAGAGGACAGCCGGAGGCAATGTTCATCTCAGCTGCAGGACGCCTGAAGCTGCTGCTGTTTGGATCCGGCTTGAAGGCATCGCCCAAGTGTTTCCTTAACGGGCCCTGGTCCATGAGCATTAGAGTCACCTAACAGAGCAACAGAAACGTCAACAAGCAGACAGGTGAGTCAGTCAACAGGTTTTTGGCACCAGAATAACAGACTTGTTTTAATGCAGAGGATTTGGGCATGCAGATGCTTTACTGATACAACACCTTGTTAAAGGTGTGTTATAGGTGGTCAGTACCTTCTGTTTGAAGGGCCAGGGCAGCAGGGCGTCGTACTCGCCTCTCATCACCACAAAGAACAGGGACAGGTGTGTCCCCTTGCCCATGCCGTCTCCGTTCAGGTAGACGCGGGCGCACATCTTGTATCCAAAGTAACCGGTGTAAAATGGCTGCGAGTAGAGCGAGAGTGTCTTTGCCCCCACAGCTTCTTGTTTCCTTCTCTTGTAGTCACGGATCTTCCAGATCAGGGTTCCGTTGTAACTCGCCGTCTCCAGCACCTGGAAACGCAGGTCCATGTCGGCTAGTCGGATCTCATGGACACTCAGCATTTCATCATGTCGCTTTAGCTGATTCTCCAGGGTTGCTGCAAAGACGTGAATATTTGTTTTTACATGATCCCAGGCATTACTAGTCCCCAGACCTCTACGGCTCCTCGGGCCTCTGCAAATACTGTAGCTATAGTTTGTGTTCTGACCCAGAGTGTGTGTTGTGGATCCAGTCCCGCTGCGCCCCCCTTGTTCCAGAGTGTTCAGTCTTGTCCGGACATTCTCAAGCGTTCCCCTCAAGTTTTCCACCTCATCTCTGAGGACACGGAGAGATCGAAGCTCCAGTTCCACCTCCAGGAGCTTCTCAGAGTGAGAGCTCATTAGTTTCTACGGAAAGAGAGATGATTGTCTAAGAGTTCTTCTTCTTCGGTTTGAAAGAAAGTGTAGCTGACAGTTCTGAGGCTTCACCTGCAATCTTTGGTTTCAGTTTTGAAAAATAAGTCATACGCGATAGTTTTAGCCGTGGCTGAGGTTTAAACATTATTCAAACTTAAAGTCAACATGTTCTGCTCCCTCCCACAGGCCAAAAACATGCAGCTAAGGTTCGGATGTGTGGATTGGACGAATGGTTGTCTATGCAAGTATAAGTTACAGTACAGAGTTACACTGTAAGTAGGAGTACAAATGACAGTACATCCAGTCTGTTAGGTCGAGACACAAAGTGGACAGAATTACGTTTTAAGGACTTGTGTGGGGAAATATTTTCTGCTTATTTTCTGGTATTTTGAACCTCCCCATTGCCTTGGTAAAAGTTTTACCTGCATAGTGGCCAGCTTCTGTTCCACCTGTCGGTTCTTCTCCCTCAGCTCGTCGCTCTGGTTCTCCAGTTCAGAAAGTCGACTGCTGAGAGCAGGAAGCACCTTGTACCTCTCTAGTAGCTCCCCTTTAATGTCCTCCACCTGGAAACGCACAGAGAGACCAGTCACACAGGAGTCCTCTGCTGAGCAGCCTCAGTCCGGTTGCCATGGTTACCTTGTTCTCTAACACAGAGTTTTTGTTGGCTATCATTCGTAGGTGTTCGCCTGCCGAGGTGGACTCATGTTGCCTCATATCCTGGTTCAGACCCTGAAGCACAAAGAAGGACCTTATCATCTGCAGTAAGGAGAACAAACGGTAGGAGGGGGGGTGGGGGGGGGGGGGGGGGGGACCAGGTACCTGGAAGGTGCAGCCATAGCGCTGGAATTGACAGCACACCTGAGCTTTGGGACAGTCGTTCTGGTGGCTGGACAGCTGATAAATACAAAACCATTCAATCAGTGTCATTACCACTAACCGCTGGATTGCGGAAGATGAAGAGGACAACTACCTCACTCCGGGGGAGGGACGAGACGGAGCAGTGGTTTGGACACGACACAGGGAAAGCTGGACACACCGTCTCCTTGTGTTTCTGAAGACAGTGAGATTGTTAACGAAGAACTTTATACTGAACTTCAGGATCAGAAAGCAGCCTCTCAGCTCAGAAGAAAAGAAGAACCACTGGGTGAGAATGATGATGATGTCTATATATGTAGTCACATCACATCACGTTGCTGTTCTTTATTCACCAATTCACCTAAACAGTCTGGATATAGTCCCCCAACTTCTACAACTAGACTTCTCTGCACAACGTGATGTCACGAGTTACCTGCAGGTCAGTCAAAGGCATCTTTGTCATACAGAACTCGCAGCTGGTCTCTCTGTGTTTACATTTCCAGCTCAGATGGTCGGGAATCTCTTTCCTCATCATTCGCTCCTTACATTTACCCAAAGGACAAGGTACCTCGAAGAAAGGACACACATTCAGGTGGTCCTGCAGACAGACAGGTGAGAGGCAGACAGGGTTTCTAGTCAGTAGACTGAGGTACGCAAAGGAATTATACAGCCAATCACAGAGCAGGATTCTCTTTCTCTCACAGGTATCTGCTGCAGACTCATCTGCTCCTGACAGCCGTTGGCTTCACTGCGACAATAAACTTTCAGAGCCATGATCTCACGATGGCAGCAGACGTCTCTGAAGATCTGAAACATAAACAAAGCTCAGTAACTAATCAATAATCATGAAAACATGGTGATGATTCATAAAGTAATGATCTCCCACCTTGTCTTTGAAGAGAGGCTCCATGTCAGCTGGACACACCGGGTTAGGATGACTAGAAAAAGAACAGCCTGCCGGTTAGAGCCGTGAGTGCAGCCTCCACCAGCTCGACTTCTCCGTCTCTGATAGTCTCTCTCTCAGGGCTTCATGCAGTAACGCTGCAGGCGTATTTATTTCGTAACGTGTGCGTAAAGCATGGTGAGGTATGTACGAACAAGCTGCAGGAAGTGAAAGAGGCAAATTGTGCTTTCCGTGTCCTGTATATTCATTCACTGGAGGGTCAAAGGGAAAACGGGAGTTTCCCATAAAGAGATGGGAGGGGATGTGTAAAGGGCCTAATGATGTATTCCGCGCTACGCACAGAAACCGCCTCCGTTAGCGCTGAAGACGCTCCGCCTCTTAGAAGCAGGTGTAAACCAGAATGCGGGTTTCGTCTCACGTGCCTCCTGGTGAAATGACAGCAGGGATCCGAGCCAGACGGCTACTGGACCAAGGACACCAGTTGAAAGGGTTTTTGTCACAAGGATCAAACTTTTTCAGTTGAGTGAACACAAAATCATTCCGCGCTACAGACGAAGCAGCAATATCACAGTTACAGGAAGACATCGAATCTCCGACTCAGCGTCCACATTCCATTCCAGCATGTTAAAGTCCTCAGTACATTACAATTAATTACAATATCAATCACAGTCACAGCATCAGCAGTGGGAACATGTCAGTCTGCACTCGGCCGTATCACAGGAACACTTTGCTACAGCGCGCTAGTCAATGCACACATTTCCCCACTGATGCACAAACAACACAACAACTTTGTCACTGCGGAATTTGAGTTTTGGCTGTTTTGACTTTGGCTGATCCACGATGGAAAGAGAGAAGGAGGTCCGTTCACGCGTGTGTTTAAATGCTCACAATATGAGGAGAAAGGCGCTGATCAGCTGATGGGCTGCAGGTTTGTAGATATGACGTAAACACAGAACGCTGACTCTGCGTTCACCGTGGTGATGATAATGCTACGTTATGTACGTACACGAGGGCCTGTGTCTCTAGTAGTATCACTCTCTGTCTCTAGCTGTCCCACTTTCTGGCTCACGTGTCGTCTCTCTTACCTGAGAATGTCGTTGATGCAGCTCTGACAGAAGCGGTGTCCACATTCCGTCTGGCGGGGCTGACAGAGGACCAGGCTGCAGGTCTCACAGCAGTATTTAGCTTCTGGAGTCAATGCAAAGTGGTCTCTGAATCCTTTGTGCAGAGGTAAGAACCCTGCAGGGACACCTGGAGACACACCTGACTTTAGTTCTCTCACACACACACACACACACACACACACACACACACACACTCTTACTTACTTTGAGGCGTGGTGTCGCTGGGGGGCCAGGGGTTGACTTGGCGGTGAACGGGCGAAGCCACTGAGAGGGCCGGGGTCAGGGAGGGCGCCACCTGCTGGAGGGGAATCTGCACCTCCCTCCCGTCAGCACTCCGCCCCGCTGACATGACCTGAGGCGGGAGGAGGGGGAGGATGGTGATGTTTGCAGAGGAGCGTGGCCTATGGGTGATACACCCCGCCTGTCGGTTTGTGAGGCGGTCTGTGAGGCGGTCTGTGACGTGGTCTGTGACACGGCCTGTGGGGCGGTTTGTGAGGCGGTCTGTGAGGCGGTCTGTGAGGCGGTCTGTGACACGGCCTGTGGGGCGGCCTGTGACGCGGTTTGTGGGGCGGCCTGTGAGGCGGTCTGTGACGCGGCCCGTGACGCGGTTTGTGAGGCGGTCTGTGGGGCGGCCTGTGGGGCGGTCTGTGGGGCGGCCTGTGGGGCGGTCTGTGGGGCGGTCTGTGGGGCGGTCTGTGAGGCGGCCTGTGGGGCGGTCTGTGAGGCGGTCTGTGGGGCGGCCTGTGACGCGGTCTGTGGGGCGGCCTGTGGGGCGGCCTGTGTGGCGGTCTGCGATGTCATAACAGATCTTGGTTTGGAAGAAGAATAAAAGGTGAATGTAACTGATGTTGCTGCTTCATCAATGAGGAAGACAGCTGCTTAGTGAGCTGGTCCAAAGACTTAACCTGCTCTGGAGCAGGTTAAGTCTTTGGATGTGTTGCTATGGTGATTTTGCCAAACTAGACTTGTGGAACTGAAAAGCCTGACTCAAGTAATCTTATCCTGAAAATACCCAATTAGTCAGGTAGGAGGGACGACGTCAGCTTCTTTAGTTCATTGTTTCTATGCAGTTTGTTTAATAACGATGCTTTAGTACACACACACACACAGCTATGCACACGCATGTACACAAAAAGCTACACGCAATCACACACGCAGACACACACACATGGACACATACACCAAGCTACACGCACAGAGACTTAACAGATACACAAAGACACACAGAGAAACACACCCGCCTACACGCACACACTCACACATGGACACACGGCTAGCTGTTGAGCTAACAGCTAGCATGCTGTCGGCTCCTTCCAGCTGCTCCTCTCACGTTCCTCTGAGGTTCCTCTGAGGTTCTACTCACATGAATCTCCTCCGCAGGCCACAGCTCCACTCAGCAGCTCCTCCGTTGTCGGTCTCTCTCTGGGATTCAAACAGTCAACCTGCAGCTGCCTCGGAGCCTCCAGGCCTCAGGCGGACTCCTCATGGTTCGGGTTCAGGGTTCTATCGGTCCTGTGTGCTTGTGAGGGTGAAGTCACCGGGATCCAGTTCTCAGATCCAGAGCGAAGTTCTGATCACACTGGAAACCCCCTCCGCTGCTTCCGCCCAGGAAATCCCCCAGAAACGTTAGCAGCCTCCGACCACCAGGGAGCGCTGTTTATTCATTTATATATGTATATATAAATAAATACAAATATATAGTATATATACTATGTATAGCTCTGTTCATTTATTTATATATATAAGTAGTATATATATTGCACAATATGTGTTATACATAGTCCCACACTGCTCATTATATATATATATATATATATATATACACACACTGTATAATATAGCTGTATAATTCAATGAATTATATAATAGTAGAACAATATAATGTAATAGTATACTATTAGTATAATATGAGTAAAATATTGTGGATGAACACGTACATTTGAGATAAGGATCTATAAAAAACAACAGTAGATTTTTATTTAACAAAAATAGTTATGCATGTAGAGAGAGGTCTCATCGTCTCTCACCATGCGTCCCGTCTTTAACAGCCTCTCAACATCTCTAACCGTCCCCACAATTTGTTATGTCTCTCACTGTCTCTCAGTCTTTCCCCGTCTCTAACCATATTTCTCGTCTTAGGGAGGCAACGGTGGCCGCGAACTGCAAGGTTGGCGGTTCAAACCCTGGTCAACCTTGCGATCCCGGCTCACGTGTCCCGGCTCAAATGTCACGTCTCACGCCGTCTCTGACCACATGCCACGTCTCTCCCCGTAGCCCAAAGCTCTTAGAGGGGGTCGGCTGTGTTTCAAAAATCTAAATGACATTTTATTGTAATAATTATTCTTCAAGGTGCTTTTTGTTTGGAAACCACTTGTTTAAATAAAGATTATAATTATTATTACGGTACGTTCATTTTCTTTAGATATTTTTTCTCATTGTCAAACCAAACTGAACTTAGAAAAGAGAAACAATAAAGAAACAAAATCATTTATTGATATTTTTGATTTTTGTCATGCACCCCAACTTGAGTGACATCATCCAACATGACAAAACTCCGCCCTCAAAGACAAAAGATTCAAAACAAAACATTGATGTAGGGGAAATATGTAGACAAAAAAGAACAGGCCCCCCCTCTTTGATTTCTGAGTGGTCCAGAGAGGGTTGTCTCAATGAGGTTCATAACACAAACCTCATTCTGACCATTCTATAAGTCCAAATAATAAAAAAAACTCATGACAGCATCATAGAACTAGTGGGCAGAGTCAGAGAGTCAAGAAGGCAGAGGCTTCTGAGAGTCCACGGGAGAGGACGAGTCCTGCAGAGAGCAGAATCAAAGTTACAGTAGAACGACAGCAGTTACAGAATGTGTTAAACATACTGAAATATGTGAGAAACATCGCCCCCATGTGGATATATATCTGTGGAAGCTACGTCCACACACCACATTGTGGGAAGATTCAGTGAAAGAAGACATACAGGTGGTGCTGCTGTAAATATATATTAAATAACTATGGATTACTACACTACTAAAACCTCACCTCCTTTGTTTCTGTGGCGGCGAAGTCCTCTTCCTCAGCAGTACACTCCTCCATCTTGTCATCCATCTTGTCCTCCTCTCCCCCTCGTCCTCTTCCACCCCCATCTGTCCCATGTTCAGCCTCCCACTCTTGAAGGACCTCATCCAAGTTAAACCTCCTTCTGTAGTTCACCAGGAAGTTCTTCACCTGAACCACCGACTTGTTACCAATCACATCTGAGATGGCCTGGAAGTCCCGCCCATACTTCCTGATGGCTGCGTGTAATTGGAAGAGAGGGGGAGAGTTACTGACTGAGGATTAATATAAGATATCAAGGTTTACTTAAAAAGTGATACAATGTAGTATTTAAACTAACAATGAACCAACAATTTTGTCCCTCCACACGACAACAACAGCCTCATCAAATACGCGGATGACACCACCATCCTGGGGCTCATCGAGGGAGGGAACGAGTATATTAACACACAAACACGAACAACACATTTCCATGACCTTTCCAAAACGTTCAGGTGTCTCAGTCTACCTGTTCCAGGTGGTTCAGGTGTCTCAGTCTACCTGTTCCAGGTGGTTCAGCTGTCTCAGTCTACCTGTTCCAGGTGGTTCAGCTGTCTCAGTCTACCTGTTCCAGGTGGTTCAGGTGTCTCAGTTTACCTGTTCCAGGTGGTTCAGGTGTCTCAGTCTACCTGTTCCAGGTGGTTCAGGTGTCTGTCTACCGGTTCCAGGTGGTTCAGGTGTCTCAGTCTACCTGTTACAGGTGGTTCAGGTGTCTCAGTCTACCTGTTACAGGTGGTTCAGGTGTCTCAGTCTACCTGTTACAGGTGGTTCAGGTGTCTCAGTCTACCTGTTACAGGTGGTTCAGGTGTCTCAGTCTACCTGTTACAGGTGGTTCAGGTGTCTCAGTCTACCTGTTACAGGTGGTTCAGGTCTACCTGGTTACTCACAGCTCACATTACCTTGTACAGCAAGCAGCTGCTCTTCGGTGGTCCAACGAGTGTTAACTTCTGATTCACCTGAAGCGGGAAAAGACAAAGCAACACAAACAGACACGGTCATTGTGGCGTTCTGCTGGCATTTTGGTTTGTGTGCGTCACCATTGTTACCTCAGGCTGCCTGAACTCGTTGACTCCTGAGCAGATCTTGTCCTTCAGAGAACCGTTCGACTGTTTGATGCTCTGAATCTGAAAGAGTGATATAGGTTAGAGCAGGGGTGCTCAATAGGTCGATTGCGATCGGTCAATAGCAAAGGCAGTGCCAGTTGAAAGAAATCTTGTTGGGAGCTAAAACTAATTTTATTCAAAAGCAACCCTGGTTTACACTTAGGACTGGCTCCCATTTTCGGTGAGGGCTGGCTCAGGTTTATGGTTAGGGCTGGCTTGGGAAGATGTGAGGGTCAGGGGTTGTATGTGTACATCCATTTTTAATTGTCTCATATCAGTCTAAAAACTTTGCCCACTGAACTGCACTTCTTAGTTGAACACAGTTGTGAAAACTGTCAACATAATTTGGGCCACGAGGGCTTTACCACAGAGAATTTCAAGCGTTCCTCTCTGGTGCTGAATACGGGACCTACTTCACCGTTCTGAGGTGCGCTGGCTCAGTCGTGCTCCGTGCTGCAGCCGTTTAATTCCCTGAGATGAAGTATCGGCAACTTTTTGAAAAAAAAAGGGTAGACCTCTGCATGAGATCCCTGACAGGCAGACCTGGCGTTTCTAGTTGATCTCACTGATCATCTCAACACCCTGAACAAGGGACTACAAAGATCAGCTGTATGTGCACATGAAGCATTGCGTGTGAAGCTCCGTCTCTTTGAGTCACAACTGCGAAACTTAATATGTCCCCTTGAACTAGTCAGATACAGCAAAAGTGTGTTCACGTTTATGTCACTGAGAACATAAAGCGACCAAGCAGAGAAGACACTAATCATGGCGATATGAACTGCTTTTAGAAATTGAAGCTCTTTTTAGTCTCCATTAGTTGATGCTTTCACAATATAGACATTCAAACTAATCAAGTAACTAAAAAGAGAGAGACAGAGAAACTGGTAGACAGACAGACCTGTCTCTTTATGGAGACCAGTTGACAGTCCAGCTGTCTGATGAGTCCCTGAGCAGACGAAGACGAGAGAGAAACGACATCCTGCTGATTCAAGAACATTCCTTTGGGAGGACGCTTCTTCAACCGCTGAGACGCCTTGCTGCCTGTCTACAGGTAGGCAGAGGACAGGCGGGTCACTACTAGCTCACGGAGAGAAAGACAGGCTTGGTTTATGTTCCGTTACCTTCAGTCCAGGGGCTGGTTTGACCTCTGACCTCTCTGGTCCAGAACTCAGCTGAAACCAAAACAGTCTGTCATTTAAAAACCGGTTTGATTTAAACAGTAAACAAACTTCCAGTTCACTTTAAACAAAGTCAGTAAACAGTAGTTTACCTCCTTGTTGTCTTTATTTGGGACGAGCTCGAAGTCAACAGGAGGATTTATGTTTCTTTCCTCGACTTCATCGTCACTGAAAGATTCAATTATTTATTTATTTTACAATTAAAAATAAAAATCGGCAACTCAACAAGCAACATGACTGTTGTGTTGCCTGTTGCGTTACCTGTCCAGATTGCAGCTCACCTGTCGTCTCTCTCTCTCTTGTGTTTTCGGGTCTGTCGGTCCATCAGACTTGTTTTACTGCGACTTTTCTTCCAGGAGTAATAGAAGCGCACCAGGCTGGCCATGGCCTTATCAGGTAACTACACAGAGACACAGGGCTTAACACAGCAGTAGATACACTGTGAACTGGTCAAACTGGTGGTACTGGGAACGTACCATCTGCTGGATGCGGTGAAAGCTCTTCCCGTGGAAGCTGAACGCCTGTTCAAACAGAACTCGGTCCTCCACCGTCCACTCGTCAGGGAAGGGAGTGAAGTTCGGCAGGTCGGCCAGAGACTTCTCAATGTTGTGTTTGTGCCAGAAGAGCATTCCCAGAGCCTACACGCCACACACATGCAGGACCAGTCAAGAGATTGTGTGTGTGTGTAACAGATCACGGACCGTCGGATGACCCGTCTTGGTTCAGATCACTTGTGAACCATTCAAGATGTCGCCACGGTGTGTTGGTGCGCATTGTTTTACGTAGGTATTGATTTTACAACTTAACAAGACAGCACTGTAGAACTTTAAGATTACATTGCAAAATGAACATACTGCCTAGACTACTGTATTACATTACATGTCATTTAGCTGATGATTTCATCCAAAGTGACTTACAATAAGTGCATTTCAACCATAAAGACTCAAAAGAACAAAAAACAGGAGTGCAATAAATAAAACCATACAGATGTTTTATTCATTAGATGAATATACCAGTATCGTATTGTATTTGTGGTATGGTGTCAATCAGGGTCCGGTATCATATTGTATTATAGTGAAGTGACCACCCGACCTGGAATATCAAGTGTCAGTAGTCCATGTAAATGTTCCATGTTTAAATAGACCTGTGTTTCCTACGATCATTGTTGTTGTTTTTGCTTGTTTGTTTTACGTTTGCTTGTCTTGTTTTATTGATGCTGATTGTTTTTATCCTGTAAAGCACTTTGGCCACTGGCCTTTAAAAGTGCTGTATAAATAAAATTGACATTGACATTGTTGTGGAAATTACTGTTAATAATTATTGTGAGGAACAATTAACATGATATGTGAATCTATATATCTTATAAAATAAGAATTACTGCTACAGTGTTGAAAAGTAGCCTTGATTTACAAAACTCGATGTAATCCAATTCCAGATCAAATCAAAACCATGGCACAAAAAAAAGAATCAAATCAGCAGGATATCTGTGCAGCTATCAAACAAGTGGTCCTTCGTAGTACTCAGTGTGGTTTCAGACAGGCTGCTGAGCCCTGTATTATAGCATAGCATTGAGTATGAAGTGAACATCATGCACGTTAATCCCAGCACAACTGTAAGAAGGAGCACCCTAATCCGCACAGATGTGTACATAACGTCCGGTAGCTACGCTAGCAACAGCTACGCTAGCAACAGCTAGGCGAGGTTCAGCTGGTTCATTAGCATTTAAAGGAGCAGGTCGCTCTGTGGAGGACTCTTTCAGGGTAAAAAGGTGCGGTTTTAAATGATCCTTGTGGTATTTTGACCAAAGTATGTTACAGACATTTCATTAAGGAAACATATTGTGGTAAAATGGGCATACGGTGGCTCCTTTAAGTGTTTTGAACTTCTTTACTAACAAATGGAAAAACAGTTATATTTGAGCCCATATACACATATGCACACACACACACACACACACACACACAGTGTGACCCTCACCTGCTCCATGTTGTAGCCATGCTTCTCCTTGGCAATGGCGATGTACTCGTCCACTGAAAGATGATATATAGGGTCAGATATACTTTGATATACATTGAAAATCCAAAAGACACCGTCTCCATCATCAAAGAGCTCCATCACACGGTTCCTGTTCAATGTGCTGGTGCTTACACTGAGTCTGGTTCAGGAAGCTGCTGGGGATCCACACCAACATGCCAAGGTTCTCTCTGAGCTGAGCTGCCTGGGCCACTTCTGATGACACACAGTGTGTTATTACATCATCGTATCATGTAGTATGATAATCATATTAACATCAATTCCCAGATAGTTACAGTGTGTAGGTGGTTCTCAGTAAAACCAGCTTGAACAATTCTAGAATAAATTGATAAAGGGTTAGAAACACCAGTGTTGGAAAAGTTACTGAAAATGAGTAATTAGTTACTAGTTACTTCTTTTAAAAATGTAATTGAATTACTTTTATATTACATGTAGGTTTGAAGTTACTTGTGTGTCTGCTTTTTAAATGTAATGAATATGAACAGTTCTGAACAGTCAAACACAAAACATGTTTTTTTACCTATTTATTGTAATCAACAGGCCTTCAAATCAAGCAGAAGTAAAAAAGTCCCTTTAATACTTAATGCAAAATGAGTGTCTGAGACGTGGACAGAGGACGCACGTCATCGGTGAGTCCAGCTCTGCAGGCCTGGGACGTCCCGCCCTGCTCGGGGGTCAACAGGTGCTCCGTAACACGCGCGTCGCGTCTTTGCAGCTGCTCATCACTCACAACTCACCACTGCATTTGTGTCTTTAATTACGACGAGCGAAAAGTAACGTCCACACTCCAGGGAGAGAAAGCTCATTCTATCCGCGCTGTCGCCACGACGCGCTTTAATGCTCTTCATTTACAACGCGGGGGGTGGAATCCAGCGTTGTGATTGGTTGAGAGTGAGTCACGTGGTGCCTTATTCATGGGTAACGTACCGTACCGGTTCACGTTGACCCGAGCGTTCCGTATCACTGCGCACTCAAAGTAACACGTTCCATTTGGCGAAACATCAGTTGACGTTTCAGTCTTTAGCTCGGTGGCGAAAAAAGGCCGGAAGTCGCACAAAAGATCGTTTTCGTGCGACCGGACAATTAAGGTGGACGTGTTGAGCCGTGTGAATGAATGAGGCGGTGTTCGCGCGCACGTACAGGGACTATTTTCTTCTCTAGACACTGAAATGAGACACACAACGTTTGGTGGCTCATACCACGTTGTGCTGAAAGGCAGATACTTACTTACGATTTGAGAGTAACGCGAGTCACCAACTCATTTACATTCAGTAATTGTAACAGTTACTTGATTTCAATAAATACTTTTGCTACATGCTCGTTACCGCATAAAGTAGTGGAATTACAGCATTACTTTGTAACGCGTTACTTCCAACACTGACAAACACTGATGAATAAACCGACACTACAGAGCGATGTCAGCATGTGTCACAATAACTACTTTTTGGTGTGCAATATATTAATTATTAATTGCAATAAAACTATTGTAATTTTCAGACCATTTTATGTCACTAATTACATAATGACAATGTGACATTATAGAATAACAATGCAAGTACACTGAAAGAAGTGTACTTGCATGAAGGAAAGTTTCATTCTTAGAATATTTAGACGTTCAAAAATGTAATATGAAAATAAATATTTTAAATAAATAAAACAAATAAATACACCTTTGTTAACAAAAAAGGGACACGGAGCGGGGCGCTAAAACGATGGTGACATTCATGAATAATCTCAGCACTACAAATGATCGCGCACATTTTCATTCATTGTGCGACAAGTCAATATAGCGATTATTGCGACAGGCCTAGTGTCAGCGTGATGTCAGCATGATGTCAGCATGATGTCAGCATGATGTCAGCATGATGTCAGCATGATGTCATGTTGGCTACACAACAGTGAGACATGAGAGTGTCTCTTTGCGTCGTCACAAAAGAGACACTCGTGGAACGTTCAGCGTGTTCGCTCTTTTGCCTCCATGACTGAGTCTGCAAGGCTTCTTAAAAAAGATCCCGATCAAACTCTGACTCTACGTTAGCAGAACAATTGGTCAGGTTTCAGATTTTTGGTTCAACCCTTAGATGTCATGCAAATCAAATTTAGATTAAAACAATCACATTAACATAATCTAAATAGAGATTCACAGCTGATTTCAAAACACCTACGTATTGCATATTTTCTAGCGGCTACGCATTAACAAATCTGAGTTTGCATTATTGATGTTCATACATTTGAACGATTTTAGAAAAAAAAATTTGGCTTCAAAACGTGATGTTAAACTGAAATAAAAAAGAGATTACTGTGACTGTTACAGACTGGGCAGTACCACACACCGAGAAGGGAACTAAAACCAGTCCGACCCAGAACCACAAGCTGTGCAACAAACACGACAGAAGAGGACAGATACTTTAGGTGATCTGTCTTGCACAGGTGTGAAGGCTGATCCATTTCAGATTCATTTCCATTGTCACGATTATTGTCATTATCAGAACTAGTAGGACTTGAGTATTACAGATGTGGAACCAGTTTAACATGACTTAACCAGTTTGAGAGGACGGCTAAGCAGTAGCAGGCACTTCAGTGCTAGTGTTGTTCGAGGCTACCACTCCGGGTGCCGATTAGACTCTTACCCGGGTCAAAGTCCGGAACCAGGGCCTGGTACTGGGTTCCAACCCGCATCCCTCCTCCACCTGCAACCACGCACACAGTAGAAGTCCGGATTGTTCAGTGGCAGTACTCCAGACTACACGCAGTACACAGCAAAACTACAGTGTTCGAGGCTACCCACCATGCTCCTCGTCGCTGCTCGAGCCGGAGCTTCCGTCTTCCCAGCAGCTGTTGCTGGTTCCATTACCGGACAGGCTCTTCCCGACGTGAGTCGCCGTTGCTCCGGGTCCACTGCTGCCGCTGCCAGTCGGACCTCTGCCTCTCCTCTTCCCCGGAGCCTCCGGGTTTCTCTCCAGCATCGCCGGCATGAGGAGGACCGAGCCAGCGGGGGCTAACTGCTGGCTGCTAACACAGGCTAAGGGCTATCTAGTTAGCTTAGCTGCCCTGCTAGCCCTGCTAACTGACTAACTAGCCCGTAGCTAAGCCGAAGTGTTCAGTCTGCACAGCAGCGAGCAAGATTCGGTGTGGGATGGAGACTTTGAGCAGGAAAAGACCCGTAAGATGAAGCTAGAGGCAAGTTGCTAACAGCTAACCTGAGAGCGGAGGTCCACTCTGAAAAGTTACGGAACATACAACCGGAACCAGAAGAAACCAGATGGAACCAGACCGACACCGGACGGGCTGACTCACAGGCACGAGCTGGAGGATCGATAAGAAGGCCAGGAAAACTGATCAGAGATCAGGCAAGCTGGAGATGATCAGAGAGAGAGAGAGAGAGAGAGAGAGAGAGGGGGAGGGAAAGAGGGAGGGAGGGAGAGATATATGAAAATAATCAATACAGTGAGAACCACATCAATAAAACATCTGCTGTAGTGATATTAATCAGTGGCAGGCCGTGCATTGTCTGAAACGTGAATAGCCTAATAACCTCATCATGACGCCACACTGTAAAACATTTCCACATTAATTTACAGTAATCTACTGGCAGCCACATTTCTTGTATTTTACTGTAATTATACAGCATAATACTGTAAAAACGTGCTGTGTAGAAACAGCATAATACCGTTATTTTACTGTTCCTACCGTGATGCCCATGAACAGATAATTACTGTAAAATGTTTTACAGCACTGTAGAATGTACATTTAGTATGATTTAATGACTTAAAAAATAATCATTTCAAAATAAAACCCTTTAGAATCGCTAACATAAAAAAGGACTCAAAAAATGAAATAACTTGCTGGTCACGCGGTTCAACAGAAAGATGTTACGGATATTCCACCATTTAGGAGCATCTAGTCGAGTGTTTTGCTCTCAGTTTATCACGTGCAGAGCGGAGAGTGCGGGTCGGGATTGTTCAGTGAGCCACAGGGGCCGGATGGACTGCGGGGTCCGTGCCCTGTTTGACGTCGAGGTGGAGGAGCAGGTGGTGCTCCTCCACCTGACTGAGGGCGGCTCCGCCCCGGAGTCGACTGCTGTCTGGCTTGGTCCACTTTGGTGCTTCGTTCAGAATCAAAAACTTTTCCACCCCGAGTATAATCACGGATCGATGATGTGTACAGATTTCTTCACACTGTCTTGATCAGATCAGAATCAAAGCCATTTATTGCCATATATGTTACACATAGAGGAATTATATAAGTCTTTGCATTGAATGTGCTAAATAAGAAGTAGACGCTTCATGCAATGTGATTATATGATGCAAGTAGTAGGTGGAGTTAGTCAACGGAAAAAGGAATAAATAGGGAAATATACCGCAACTTTAAACAGTAGCGTGCTGTAAAAAAATATTTTCTGTTGCTGTATTTTACAGTATTCAACTGTATTGAGGAATAACAGTATATTACTGTTGAGAATTTCTCGTAATTCTACAGTCATTTGTTACAGTGCAGTTACAATAATAATGAAATGAAATCAATGTAATTGTCTCAGTGACAAGAATAAACTCACAAGAACCAGACACATTTATTTACATCACAGCATTTATTTATTGACAAAACAATCCATCAAACCTGTGGCACTAAAATAGCACCGACTCAGAAGCCCGGGCCATTCAAATATGATTTACATCAGGGGGGAAGATATTAACTAAATAATAAAACCAGCTTCTTAAACAAATGAACAGCTACTGGAGGTGTAAAACCACTAAAGAAGTTGACTTGTTAAAAGCTGTTCACTATTTACAGACAAAGTTCATCCTGAACTAAATACTGAGATCTGCTCGCTGGCGGAACCGTGGTTTGATGGTTTGGTGGTTTGGTGGTTAGATTAGATTAGATTAGATTCAACTTTATTGTCATTACCAGTGTTGGGCAAGTTACTGAAAATGAGTAATTAGTTAGTTACTTATTTTAAAAGTAATTGCGTTACTTACCAGCTACTTTATACCAAAAGTAACTTTAAGTTACTTTTATGTCTGCTTTTTCAATGTAATGAACAAGGGTGTAACCATGGTTTAGACATTGGGGGGGTTCGCTTAACGAACGGTTCATAAAAGGAAAGAAACATTTTTTTATGTATATTGGGGGGGGCTGATTGGTATTTTCTCAATATTGGGGCGACACGCCGATACGTGGTTACGCCCGTGGTAATAAATATAAATAGTACTGAACAGTGAAACACAAAACATCTTTTTTAGACCTATTTATTGTAATCAACAGGGCAACAGGCCTTCAATTAAAATAGTCATTTAGGCAAAACAGTAGACCGTTAACAAGGTTCTGGGTTAATAATGTGGAGATATAAACAAACTATTATTTGCACCAGATTAGGGTTGCTAAACTGGGACAGCCTCCATCAAGGACCTGTACACCTCCAGAGACAGGCAGGAAAGATCCCTGCAGACCTTCACACCCTGGACACAACCTGTTGCACCTCCCCCTTAGGGAGGGCGCTACAGAGCTCCGCACGCCACGATGTTGTGGAAGATTTTGCACAGGCAATCGCTAAATAAAAATAAAGCCTCTGAGTCAAATGTGTCTTTGTCCGTTTATTTCCTTGCAAGGGGAAATAGGTCACAACAGCTACGTGCTCAGTAGACCGCCAAGAACCTTCTTCCTCTCACAAGTGGGCCAGGCAGTTCTTATACATACAGGCGTCCTTCACACCAACTTGTTGTGTCTCTACAGCCAGGAGACTGGCATTTTATCAGTGTGAGACACTCCAGTTCTTTTTCATGGCCACACCATCCCAGCACTTCCCGTCCCGTCCCGTTTTGAACAATGACTTGTGGGTAATTCCCTGAGTGATCATAAAGGGCTCAAAACATCTGAGAGTCTCACTCAACAATGTCACCAAACCAAACCCTCACAGACTCAGAAGGAGCCTCAGAGTCTCTGGGAGGAGGGGTCAAGATAGGCCAATGTCTCCAAGTCAGGTGCCTGTCAGTTCGTTGCTGCGTCTCATTTGGTGGGCCGCATCCTCATGATGACCCGGCCTCCTACACGGGCCGAGCGGTCCCTGAAAGAAGAGGGTCTGGCCTACACGGGCTTCCTGCGTGTGTCATCAGCTGTTCCTCCGCTGCTCCCGTTGCCTAGCAACCTGCTGCGCTTGACAGTGAAAGCTTTAAAATCCGCAAAACGCATTAAATACAGACTGAAATGATCATCTTCTTATTTCATTTAATTTAGGAGGAAATGCTTCAGCTTCTGATATATTTTAGAGAGAGCTGAGAGAAGAACATTTTTAAATTCTTATCAAATAGCACAGCGGTGAACTTTAAGCTGAAAGTAATATTGCAAGTCAGAGAATAAAACCACAGCATCTAACACATTTATTAACTTGTATGCACAGACTTTTTATTCTTTTTTTGCATATACAAGCTAATTTAAGATATTATAGAATTTGTCCTATCGCCCGAAGTTAGCTGGGATGGACTCCAGCCCCCCCGCGACCCTGTGTGCAGGATAAGCGGTTTGACAATGGATGGATGGATGGATAGAATTTGTCCAAGCTACAGAAGCTGAATGTCACCACAAACATCGTTCTCCTTCAGCGTCCTTCTGCTCTCTAAAACACAACTAAATCTAGAGTTAGTTTATGATCACAATAAACTAAATCTAGAGTTAGTTTACGATCACACTAAACTAAATCTAGAGTTAGTTTATAATCACACTAAACGAAATGTATAGTAAGTTTACGAGAGTTGGTTTATGATCACACTAAACTAAATCTAGAGTTAGTTTATAATCACACTAAACGAAATGTATAGTAAGTTTACGAGAGTTAGTTTATGATCACACTAAACTAAATCTAAAGTTAGTTTATAATCACACTAAACTAAATCTAGAGTTAGTTTACAATCACACTAAACTAAATCTAGAGTTAGTTTATAATAACACTAAACGAAATGTATAGTAAGTTTACGAGAGTTAGTTTATGATCACACTAAACTAAATCTAGAGTTAGTTTATAATCACACTAAACGAAATGTATAGTAAGTTTACGAGAGTTAGTTTATGATCACACTAAACTAAATCTAGAGTTAGTTTATAATCACACTAAACTACATCTAGAGTTAGTTTACAATCACACTAAACTAAATCTAGTTAGTTTATAATCACACTAAACTAAATCTAGAGTTATTTTATGATCACACTAAACTAAATCTAGAGTTAGTTTATGATCACACTAAACTAAATCTAGAGTTAGTTTATAATCACACTAAACGAAATGTATAGTAAGTTTACGATCACCATAAACTAAATCTAGAGTTAGTTTATGATCACACTAAACTAAATCTAGAGTTAGTTTATAATCACACTAAACTACATCTAGAGTTAGTTTACAATCACACTAAACTAAATCTAGTTAGTTTATAATCACACTAAACTAAATCTAGAGTTATTTTATGATCACACTAAACTAAATCTAGAGTTAGTTTATGATCACACTAAACGAAATGTATAGTAAGTTTACGATCACACTAAACGAAATGTATAGTAAGTTTACGATCACACTAAACTAAATCTAGAGTTAGTTTATGATCACACTAAACTAAATCTAGAGTTAGTTTATAATCACACTAAACTAAATCTAGAGTTAGTTTATAATCACACTAAACTAAATCTAGAGTTAGTTTATGATCACACTAAACGAAATGTATAGTAAGTTTACGATCACACTAAACTAAATCTAGAGTTAGTTTACGACCACACTAAACTAAATCTAGAGTTAGTTTATGATCACACTAAACTAAATCTAGTTAGTTTATGATCACACTAAACTAAATCTAGAGTTAGTTTATAATCACACTAAACTAAATCTAGTTAATGATCACACTAAACTAAATCTAGAGTTAGTTTATAATCACACTAAACTAAATCTAGTTAGTTTATGATCACACTAAACTAAATGTATAGTGAGTTTACGATCACACTAAACTAAATCTAGTTAATGATCACACTAAACTAAATCTAGTTAGTTTACGATCACACTAAACTAAATCTAGTTAGTTTATGATCACACTAAACTAAATCTAGTTAATGATCACACTAAACTAAATCTAGTTAGTTTATGATCACACTAAACTAAATCTAGAGTTAGTTTATGATCACACTAAACTAAATCTAGTTAGTTTATGATCACACTAAACTAAATCTAGTTAGTTTATGATCACACTAAACTAAATCTAGAGTTAGTTTATGATCACACTAAACTAAATCTAGTTAGTTTATGATCACACTAAACTAAATCTAGAGTTAGTTTATGATCACACTAAACTAAATCTAGTTAATGATCACACTAAACTAAATCTAGAGTTAGTTTATAATCACACTAAACTAAATCTAGTTAGTTTATGATCACACTAAACTAAATGTATAGTGAGTTTACGATCACACTAAACTAAATCTAGTTAGTTTATGATCACACTAAACTAAATCTAGAGTTAGTTTATGATCACACTAAACTAAATCTAGTTAGTTTATGATCACACTAAACTAAATCTAGAGTTAGTTTATGATCACACTAAACTAAATCTAGACTAAACTAAATCTAGAGTTAGTTTATGATCACACTAAACTAAATCTAGAGTTAGTTTATGATCACACTAAACTAAATCTAGAGTTAGTTTATAATCACACTAAACTAAATGTATAGTGAGTTTACGATCACACTAAACTAAATCTAGAGTTAGTTTACGATCACACTAAACTAAATCTAGTTAGTTTACGATCACACTAAACTAAATCTAGGGTTAGTTTATAATCACACTAAACGAAATGTATAGTAAGTTTACGATCACACTAAACTAAATCTAGTTAGTTTATGATCACACTAAACTAAATCTAGAGTTAGTTTATAATCACATCAAACTAAATCTAGAGTTAGTTTACAATCACACTAAACTAAATCTAGAGTTAGTTTATAATCACACTAAACTAAATCTAGAGTTAGTTTATGATCACACTAAACGAAATGTATAGTAAGTTTACGATCACACTAAACTAAATCTAGAGTTAGTTTACGACCACACTAAACTAAATCTAGAGTTAGTTTATGATCACACTAAACTAAATCTAGTTAGTTTATGATCACACTAAACTAAATATAGAGTTAGTTTATAATCACACTAAACTAAATGTATAGTGAGTTTACGATCACACTAAACTAAATCTAGTTAGTTTACGATCACACTAAACTAAATCTAGTTAGTTTACGATCACACTAAACTAAATCTAGAGTTAGTTTATAATCACACTAAACTAAATCTAGTTAATGATCACACTAAACTAAATCTAGAGTTAGTTTATAATCACACTAAACTAAATCTAGTTAGTTTATGATCACACTAAACTAAATGTATAGTGAGTTTACGATCACACTAAACTAAATCTAGTTAGTTTATGATCACACTAAACTAAATCTAGAGTTAGTTTATGATCACACTAAACTAAATCTAGTTAGTTTATGATCACACTAAACTAAATCTAGAGTTAGTTTATGATCACACTAAACTAAATCTAGACTAAACTAAATCTAGAGTTAGTTTATGATCACACTAAACTAAATCTAGAGTTAGTTTATGATCACACTAAACTAAATCTAGAGTTAGTTTATAATCACACTAAACTAAATGTATAGTGAGTTTACGATCACACTAAACTAAATCTAGAGTTAGTTTACGATCACACTAAACTAAATCTAGTTAGTTTACGATCACACTAAACTAAATCTAGGGTTAGTTTATAATCACACTAAACGAAATGTATAGTAAGTTTACGATCACACTAAACTAAATCTAGTTAGTTTATGATCACACTAAACTAAATCTAGAGTTAGTTTATAATCACATCAAACTAAATCTAGAGTTAGTTTACAATCACACTAAACTAAATCTAGAGTTAGTTTATAATCACACTAAACTAAATCTAGAGTTAGTTTATGATCACACTAAACGAAATGTATAGTAAGTTTACGATCACACTAAACTAAATCTAGAGTTAGTTTACGATCCACACTAAACTAAATCTAGAGTTAGTTTATGATCACACTAAACTAAATCTAGTTAGTTTATGATCACACTAAACTAAATATAGAGTTAGTTTATAATCACACTAAACTAAATGTATAGTGAGTTTACGATCACACTAAACTAAATCTAGTTAGTTTACGATCACACTAAACTAAATCTAGTTAGTTTACGATCACACTAAACTAAATCTAGTTAGTTTATGATCACACTAAACTAAATGTATATGAGTTTACGATCACACTAAACTAAATCTAGTTAGTTTATGATCACACTAAACTAAATCTAGTTAGTTTATGATCACACTAAACTAAATCTAGAGTTAGTTTATGATCACACTAAACTAAATCTAGACTAAACTAAATCTAGAGTTAGTTTATGATCTAGACTAAACTAAATCTACAGTTAGTTTATGATCTCACTAAACTAAATCTAGAGTTAGTTTATGATCACACTAAACTAAATCTAGAGTTAGTTTATAATCACACTAAACTAAATGTATAGTGAGTTTACGATCACACTAAACTAAATCTAGAGTTAGTTTACGATCACACTAAACTAAATCTAGAGTTAGTTTATGATCACACTAAACTAAATCTAGAGTTAGTTTACGAACAGTCTCCGTCATGAATAAATGAAATCTTCGACGGCCTACACTGGATGATGGGATATGCTGGGCTGCAAAGGATGGATCTAATGTGTCCTCTAGATCGATACCTGGAGGGCTGCATTCTTCACTGCGTTGAAGTGAGCAGAAGTGAGCATTTTTTAAGCAGTTTAGAAAATGTCTACCGTCTGCTTTCTTTGACAAATATGTCAGCAGATGTAAGACTAGCGCGGATAGTTATATATAGGATAGGCTAGTTGGAGCAGCTCTCGCTCTCCGGGTGCTGTGGCTAAATGTGTAAGTGGATTCCATAGTCACACGTCCACGAGCAGCACGCCTGCCCGAACCTTTTATTCAAAAATGATGGATGAAGAGGGGAATTTGTGGAAATGTTACAAAACAGAAATATTCTTTTCACGTTCATGTTAGCAGTAGTAGTGGGTTCTGATTGGACCAGCATGGTTTTTACAGATCACGTTTCAGTCAGTAAACAGCAGGAGGTGCTGTTCTTCTTCAGATGATGATGATGAAGATGATGAGGTCAAAGTATAAAGTAGCTCAAAAAGTAGAGAACAAGTACCTCAAGAATGAACTAAAGTACAGGACAACTACCTCAAAACATACTAAAGTATATATTAGTACGAGTACAGCGGTACTGCGCTGCTAATCTCTTGTTGATGATCAATTTGAACATTTGCGTTCATTCCAATAACTTTTGTTATTTAACTTTGTGATTCTGAAATACATTTTTATTCACCTTTTTTTCAAATGATCATTAACTAATCAGGAAAACTGATTGATCATTGGACAGGATCACAACAGTCACGTGACCCTGTTTACTGTTTTCAGCCTCTGAAGGCCGCTATGTTCGCTATGTGGGACACTCGATCCCTCCCCCCCCCCCTCCACCTCCGCCCCATTCCAAAAACAAACATCCACACATGGAGCTGAAATGGTGGGGGAGGAGCAGCACGATGATCAGGACGTTTCGAGGGCCGGCGGAGAGGAGACGAGAGTGGAGACATAAAGGGAGAAAGAGGGTGGGGGTGCAACTATAAAAGTGTTAAAGAGATGAGGACGGAGGTTTGACTGAGAGACTGTGACTCTGCGGAACGAGGAAGTCTCCTTCAGACCAGGTGTGTGTAGTGTGTCCTTCAGTCCAGGTGTGTGTAGTGTGTCCTTCAGACCAGGTGTGTGTAGTGTGTCCTTCAGACCAGGTGTGTGTCCTTCAGACCAGGTGTGTGTAGTGTCCCCTTCCGATGTGTGTTCTTAAAACCATGTGTCCATCCTGTTTACTCCAGGTGTGTCTCAGGGTGTCCTCATGCCGCGGCTCCTCTCATCTCAGGTGGACCTCCTGTCTTCGTCCCCCTCTCAGCGTCAGTGTGAACGGACGTCCTTCTCCTTTTACTGCGCGGTGCGTCAGCGGCTTCCTGCGTGGCTGCTGGAGGACATGCGCTGCATGGAGGTGTTCAGCTGGGAAGACGGAGGTCCTCGAGCCTTTCTTCCGTCGGAGGCGCTGCTGTACGCGCTGGTGCACGACCACCAGGACTACGCGCGCTTCCTGCTAAAGGAGCATTCGGCGAGCGCCATGCGGCCGACGCGCTGCAGCTTCTGCCGCGGCAGCGGCCGTGCGCCGCATCTCGCCATTGCCGTGCGCTACGACCGCGTATCGATTCTGGGAATGATGCTGGCGACTCTGAAGGACGCTCAGGTACAGACGGCGAAGGACTTCCTGGACTGCCGGGGCGGCTGCTCGCACGTAGCCGACGCGGGGAAGACGGCGGTGCAGCTGGCTGTGGAGCTGTCGCGGCCCGACTGCCTGCTGCTGCTGCTGGTTCACGGCGCGCTTCCCAGCGGCGCGGACGCGGCGCTGCAGCGCCTCGTCGCCTCCGACGGCACTGAGCGCCGCCGCGCACAACGCTGCCTCGACTTCCTGCTGCTCTTCCTGCCCGGACCGCCAGCGCTGTTCTGCCCGCAGGACGAATCGCATCGCTGGCAAAGCCTGCTGGGAAATGAAGTGTTCAGGTGGCTGCGTGGTTTGGCTCCACCCCCTTTACTGCTGCAGGCGCTCAGGTGTCTGGCCCGGTCCGGCCCGGATCAGATCACCGCCCTGCCCGACTTCCTACAGCTGCATAGCCGGCAATAACATCATCTGTCCCCATGGAAACACTCACCTAACCCCCCCAAACTACCACGGTCGGATGGTGATCTGATGAGATCTAATATGTAAATAAAGACTACATCCTTCACTGATTAGCTGAAAGAGACTTTTGGAGACTGAGGAAGAAGCAGCTGCTGTGATACGAGCTTTCCGTTATATGAATGATGACGTGTGAGAATAAGGAAATGCTTATTGTAGCAGAGATGAATGTGATCAAATATTTTAACTCAGTGGTAAACGGACCACTTCAGGACTGATGTGCCCGGAACATGTTGCTAGCTGCTAGGCTACTTCCATCTCAACATCTGCCCCCTAGGACCACCACTGTGCCCCTACATTAAACAGTGGTTTGGAAACGTCCTGCTAAATGTGGGGACGTTGTTGGCACTTAAAACACGTCAAATGATGGAGAGCAAAGTGCGCAAGGACAGCAGGAAAAGTCGCTAGTTTAACATGTTCCACCTCCAAACATGATCACGTGTGTTTAAAATACAATTACACAAGAGTTAAAATACATCCTACCTAAAGTGATTACTCGTTAATTTATAAGATTTACTCTTTAGAAGAAACTTAATCACAATTAATGAATTTCAAAATTTGAGGTTAATTAGGGTTTTTAAAATCTATTCACAGCCCTACAATAAATCAATGGGTAAAAAGTTGCTTAGAACAACATGGATTTCCCACTGTCAAAAAATGAATATGTTTGGCATCTATTAATCCTCTGCCACAACAGCCGTTTTCAAAGACAATGTGACTATTTGAGCAGGTGCCTGCAAATCCACTGTTCGCCCTGTTTGACAAAAAAATCCAGAAATCTTGTCATGGTCAGGTGATCATGAGGAGGATCAGAAGGTAAGGACTACGAGGACCATGAGCATGATGACGGTCATGAGGATAATGACAATGAGGATCAGAGCTGTATCTGCTGGTCAGTGTTCCTGTTATTGTGAGATAACAACGCAACATTTTACCGGAGATGAAGATGAATATACATCTGATGTATGAACACGTTACCTGATATGAAGAAGCGTCTTTCTCAAATCCGTTTGTGGTTACATTTGGTTGCAGCGCTCTCCCATTTTTTGCCAAGCAATGAAGGGCAAGTCTCATTTCTGCAGATTGTCAATTATTCTTTGGTTATTTATTATTGAAGGCGTCCTGCATTGACGGCGTAAAAAACAATTACATCCATCTTCTTGATCGTCCAAGCTGATCCCAGATTTCCTCCTAAGTGTAGAAGTACTACTGGGACTTTGGTTCTTTGTTTGTTTGAGTCCAATACAGCTGTGAGATTCAATGATCTGTTAATACTTGTATAAAAACATTAAAACCTGTCTTTTGAGGATTTGCTCATTTAGGGACATTTCTACGGACCCGGGCCAGTCAGAGCCACAGCAAGAACCTTTATTTCATCAGCAACGAAATGTGTTTTTCAAAGTTGAATCCATGAAAGATCTCGAACATTGAGATTATTAAAGGGAAATGGCAGCAGTTTATTGGATTTACGTGTTTATGTGAGCCAAAGATTTCAAACATCAGTTTCAGTTAATACGCTGTAACCCGTGTATTTGAACTTTGTTAGGATAATGAACGTTATCATAAAACAGGTGAGGTTACACTGAATTCTTATTAATCATCAACCAATGAGCTGACATCGGGACGACATCACAACATAGTCACACCTGTACACGTTTCCATGGCAACTATTAGTATGAGGAAGAGGATGCTGAGGACAAGTTAGAAGTTCTTCAAAATATTAAACCATTTCAGACCCTAGACCTGAACCTCAATGCTTGTTCACCAGAGGGTCAATGAGAGTCCAATATAGTACATTAGAGTCCATCAGTCTACTATAGTCCACCAGGGTGCATTAGAAACTACTACAATCCACCATGGTCTCTTAGAGTCCATTATAGTCCTTCAGGGTCCATTAGGCTAATATAGTCCGCCAGGATCCATTAGTCTATCAGAGTCCATTGGAGTCTACTTTAGTCTCACTAGGGTCCATGAGAGTCTACTATAGTCTATTTGAGTCCACTTAAGACATTATAGTGCACTAAAGTCCACAAGGTTCCATTAGAGTCCAACAGGGTCTATTAAAGTCAACTTGTCTTAACACGGTCTAACTCAGCTTAACCCCACCAGACTGAACCAGGATATTACATCTCTACCATTTCCAAACCCTGAACGTGGTCAAAAAGCACAAATCAATTTCCAGTTTAAACCAGCTTGAACCAGTTTAAACCAGATCAAAGTTTTAGCTCATTTAAAATAGCATGAATGAAACATGGGTAGAATGTGAAAACGTCCCATTGATGCCTTCAACAACCACAGTCAGAACCATTAAGGTCTAGTTTGCCTTCTTTTTAAAGTGCTTTCTTTTAAAACAATGTCTCAATTCCCTTCATTTCCCAGAAACCACCTGGGATCCACTTGTTTGGATTTCAAAAACCTCAACGTAAGAAAATGACAGCGGTGACATCACAATGACATCGTCAAATGAGCTCCCATTCGTCGTCGATGTCGTCCCCACTGAGTGAGGATGCTGAGGGGGCGGGCCAACGGGGAGTTTGTGGGAGGAGCTTAGTCAGACGACGTGACAATCCCCCAATCACAGTCACTGCCCACAACTCATCTTCTGGAGTCACTGCAGAGAGATAAAGATGTACACACACACGCATCTCCGTTACTTGTCTCCGTAAAGACAGTTATCATTTCCACTAACCACCATGGAAATAAATAACCACTATTTCTACTCTTTATTTGTTGTGTGATTTACACAAACGTCACAACGGTAAACGGTGTTGTGTTCGGGTTCATGACATCATCCGTCGCCGCACACAGCTTGAATTTCACCGACTCCTTCAGGAAGTGCGTCTGGATGATGGCGGCTTCCCGCGCTGCTTCAGGCGGACCAGCAGCCGGTCTGATGACCTGATGTGTCGGCTCGGTGCGTCTCTCGGTTACACAACTAACTTACAGGTGTTCAGTCTCAGCTGTGTGTGTCTCTGGCAGTTTATTCACACTTTGGCAGCAGGACGGCGGTGATGACGAGCGGAGCATCTCAGCGCTGATTGCCTTTCGCAAAACAGCGTTGTGCAATTTGTGTCCCACGCGCCGCATCTTTCGCTAACCCTAACCCTCTCGCCCCCAGTTTAAAATTTGCGTCATTCGCGACCTGTCGCGTCTGTGCATCGACTTTGCATGAAATCTACTTGCGCGAATAATTCGCTTCGCTTTTGGTGTGAACGCAGCATTAGTATAAACCAGTAGGAGCCAGTCTCACCAGTTAACCAGTTGGCGTTCCCAGGGATCTTCTTCCAGTAGTCTCCAGCAGGGTTTTGGTCCGAGATGCCGTAACGACGAGCGACTTCTCCATTTACACAACGAACCCAAACGGTCCGAGAGCTGAGGACCAGCTGAGTGACAGCTAGGCCTGGAACACACACATGTACACAATGTACACACAGTGTGCAAACATGCACAGTGTACCGATCTGCAAACACTGTACACATGAACTCGTACCTGGTGCCAGGTCCCAGTCAGTTCCCACCGGCATCTCATCACTGAGTCCAGTTCTGACGAAGACGCTTCCTCTGTTGTCCAGAGCCCAGAGGAGACGGTCATTAGGACTTGTCTGGATATTGACCAGCTGCACTCCTATTGGCTGCAGAGGCATGATGTCACAGTTACCTGTTGGTTCCGTGTGTGTTACCTGTAAAGGTGGTTCTATCTGGATCCAGTGTGACTTACCTGTACAGGCGGGTCTATATGGATCCAGGCAGGTAGCATCATGCTGGGGTTTAAGGGCTGGGTTCCCACTCTGAAGTAAACTATTCCTCGACTGTCCACAGCCCAAACGTTCTGACTGCCGCAACTCACACTGACCAGACGAACACTTCCTGGAACACATCAGTGACATTTTAGCTTAACACACTTGCAAACACGTTTACATCTGCATACAAGTCTGTGAAAGCTCAAACACCTCATGAACCTTGAGAACCCTTCAAGAACGAATGCACCGAATGAAGGAACCTAAGCTTTTTATCATGCAATCTAAATCCACCCGCCCTCAGAATCAGGAGGCCAAAGGTGGACTCCAAAGCATCAGGAGGTTTGCATTCATCAGCATTAGGGAAGATTAGAAAGTTACCTGATGAGCAGTCTGAATATTTTTCTACTGTCAGAGTTCAGAGTTCTTGTACCTCAGGTACAAAATCAGTGACCACTAACAGAGCATGCTTCTCTTATGATAGCAAAATTCAGTTATGGTTAGGGATTCTCAGCATGTTAACACTCAGCATTGACATGAGATCATGTTTTCACGTGTCATGTGGCCAGGCAGTCATGTGGTCAGGTGTTCACGTGGCCATGTGTACTTGAAACATGTTGGTGTCTGATGGAGGAACTAAAAAAAACCCTAAACCAGCAGACACTCCAGTTACACTCTTCATGTTCACCTCCGAGTTTCCACTGTGTTACACAACCTCCACTGTCAACCTGACGTAAAGACACAGCTGTGTGTGTGTCATACTGTAACATGACCACAGTACTCTGCCCCCGAAACACACAGCGACGCATGGTCCAGTCACAGACTAAGAGTTAGACTCTTATTAGAAAGGACTAGTTGGTCTCCAGCTCTTCATTAGGTATCAGAGGTGTAGCACCATCTGGTGGCACAGAGAACACTGGTTAAATGACATAACAACGCGTGTAGGGTCAGTTAATAGTGCTCATACAAGTGTTATTCTCGACACCTGTTGAATATCTAACCTATTTATCTTATACTTATTTACTTTGGTTAGTTTGTTGCTGTTTACAACTAAAGATTATTTGTGTATAAACAAAAAGACAGACTACATGAACAACAACACACTGTTTCATGTCTTACAGTACTACTTGTTGCACGAGATGATCGGCTCTAACGGCTCTCAGATAAGACGGTTACCAGACGTACTGGTGACACCCTCTGCATACTTCTAAAGCGGTTTCTGGTGAACCGCAGGATCTTTTCGATGTACAAAATGTACCACGGCTCAGAAAAACAAATCTATATATCTGAAATAACGTGATATACCATTAAAAACTACAGATATTTAAAAAACAGTGATTCTGACATTGGCCACTAGAGCTACCGGCTGGAATTCTGAACAAAATCACCAGAATCTCCTCCAGCTTAGACTCCTTCAGGAATCCAGCAGAGACCAGTCCACTGTGGCAGAACCAGATCCAGAGCTCCAAAGGGAGGAGGAGAGCTCAGTTCCTAGCAGTAGCAGTATCTCTTCCTCCTCCGGGAGCAGAGCTTCTCCCCTCCACACAGACACCACACTGCTGGAGACTCATGACGTATTGCTGGAGAGAATAGAGGCCCAGGACAACCAGAACCAGGACTGAGAGAGGGAGGCTGACAGACCTTGCTGAAGTCAAATGAGAGGTTGTCTAACGTGACCCCCGGTGCTCAGAGACACTACCACTTAAGACCACAAGGGAAGACAGAATCAACACAAAAGTTCCATGTAGTAACTTTCAGATACATACCGAGCTGGTTGAGGTCCAGGGAGGTCCAGTGGAGTCCAAAGGGACAGGATGGAGACAACGTACGAATACTGACTCGTCCATGTGTGTCTAAACCCCACAGAGCATCACGGCAGGCAGACAGGTGAGACAGCTCCATCTGAGCATACATGTATGACACAAAAGGAGATTGTTAGTGAACAAGGTTGAGTAGAATCAAACTCGACAAATGTGGTGTTTTTACCTCATGTGGTAGAGAGATGGACGAGGGGCGGAGCTCGCCATCCTGGTCCCAAACACAGAACAGATCCTTCCTGCTCTGAGCCAACCATAGAAACGTACCTGAGAAACAGGTGACACATACAGGTTGACTGTGATTACATTACATTTGATTCAGATGACCCTTTTATCCAGGTAGTTGTTGAAGTCTGGCGACTAGTTGCAGAGGTCGGGGACTAGTTGTAAAGGTCTGAGGACTAGTTGCAGATGCCTGAGCACAGGTTGTAGCAATCTAAGGACTAGTTGTAGATATCTGGGGACAATTTGAACTAGTTACAGGAGGTTGGGGGACTAGTTATAAAGGTATAAAGGAGGACCAGTTGCAGATATCAGGGAACTAGTTACAGAGTTCTGCATACTAGTTTAAGAAATCTGAGGACTAGTTACAGAGGTCTGGGGACTAGTCGCAGTGGTCGTATCAACCAGCTAGTTAGACTTCAAGAATGTCTTGGAGACACCAAAACCTGGATGACCTGCAACTTCCTGATGCTAGTCAGAAAAAACGGAAGTTATCCTGATAGGCCCAGAGCGCCTTCGAAGCCAGCTGTCGCGTGATACAGTTTTTATGGATGGAATTGCTCTGGTACCCAGCAGCACCGTCAGGAATCTGGGAGTTCTCTTCGACCAGGATATGACCTTCAACTCGCATATCAAGAAGACTTCAAGGACTGCCTATTTTCATCTACGTAACATATAAAAAATCAGGAACTTTCTGTCTCCAAGTGATGCAGAAAAATTAGTTCATGCGTTTGTCACTTCCAGACTGGACTACTGTAATTCTTTGTTATCAGGCTGCTCTTGTAAATCTCTTAAGCCTCTCCAGTTGATTCAGAATGCTGCAGCACGTGTATTAACAAGAACTAAGAAAAGGGATCATATCACTCCTGTATTAACTTCTCTGCACTGGCTCCCTGTTAAATCAAGAATAGATTTTAAGGTACTTCTCCTCACCTACAACGCACTTGCTGGTGAGGCACCGTCGTATCTTAATGAGCTTGTAACACCTTATTGCCCTACAAGGCAACTGCGCTCCATAGATGCTGGTTACTTGTTGTTCCTATGGTTTTAAAAAGTAGGCTGGGGACCAGCGCCTTCAGTTATCAAGCTCCTCTTTTGTGGAACCAGGTTCCACTTTCAGTCCGGGGGGCTTTCGGTCAGCTCTTTTAAGATAAAGCTTAAAACTTTCCTCTTTGATTTTGCTTATAGTTAGGGCTGGCTCAGGTTAGCCCGGACCAGCCCTTAGTTAAGCTGCTTAGACTGCCGGGGGACTTCTTAGGACACACCGAGCTCCTCTCTCACTCTCTCTCTTTCTACAATAATCCACGTTTTATTAATGCACATGACTAATTCAGCGGGAGTTCTTTTGTGCTTTCTCCCCTAGCAGGTCTCCGTAGATCGTAGGTCCTTCTGGACCCCTGGCCCTGCTGACACCTGCTGATGCCATCATCCTCATTATTATTTTAGATATTAATCATATTACTGTAATCATAAACCAACGTTACCCTCTCGTAAAGTCTTTGTAATTTGCAATTTTGGGCCATACAAAATAAAATGAATTGAATTGAAATTGAATTGTATAGTGTACAGGTGTGTGTACCTTCTCTGTGAGGCACAACTGAAGAAGTGATGAAGCTCCACTTGGTGGTTGAGACGGTTCCTCTTGGAACAACATTCTGCCAGAAAGTTCCTGAGAATCAACAAAAAGGGAAACTGAGAAAACGTCCTAAAAAGTCTGATCTGGGCCTTTCTGGACTCTACTGACCCACGAGACTGCCCCGGGCCAGGTGCAGTTGGTTACGTCCTGAAGCGACCCAAACTCCACTTCCGTTGGCGCTGACCAGGCTTGGTTGGCACTGTGAGTACTGTGACAGAAAGGCCACCACACGCTCAACCGGCGCCCTGGTAACCGTGGCAACACTCTGGGTGGCATGAAGCAGCGTCTGGAAAATACTGCCCTGGTCAAAGACCACATAGTCCGAAATTCTGATCTGATGGGGAGAGATAGAAACGGACAGACAGACGGGCTATTAAGCTGTGAAGAAAAAAAAAAAAGACTCATCAGACCTCCTCTTCCTGCCTACCTGCCACCAGTGGTCGTCATCGCCCTGTGGTCTGGACGAACAAATGCCGGTTCTAAACCAGAGGCTGCCGCTGGCGTCTAGAGCCCAAGCTGTACCTCCTTCTGCCAGAGCCACACACATCAGCTCCACACCCTGAGCCTCACTGGGACAAATACACACCGAGTAACACACAATGACATCACAATAACTAAGCTGGCTCTCCTTGTGAACTAGTTGAATGTGCCGCTGATTTCAAAGCTGTATAATAACGTACTTCAGTAGTACAGTGGTGGTAGTACCGGACACGGTAACAAATCAGTAGGTGCAGTACCTGTCGGTTTAATAGATAACTAGTACGGTAGGATCATGACCTGACGGTGTAATAGATCAGTAGTACAGTAGGAGTAGTACCTGACTGTGTCGTACTTCCAGCCCTCTCCCTCGCTGCAGTAGCTGCTCAGACCTTCTCTGTAGAAAACTGCCTTGTGTTCGCTCAGAGCCCAGACCACACCTTCGCTCACACACACCTGAGTGAACACACAAGGACACTCCAACTTCACAGAGCGAGCACAGGGCCGGTCCACACTTAGACCTAGAGACACAGAGACAAGGGTTACTATGGTAACAGCAAACAGAGATACATTCCAGTCTTATCATTATGTTTAGGTGGTCCTTGATGCGTTCACGGCCCTGGATGTTTTGGTGGTACTGGATGTGTTAGTGGTCCTTGATGTAGTCTCTGATGTTTTGGTGGTCTTGGATGTGTTGGTGGTCACAGATGCTTGGTTGGTCCTGAACGTGTTGGTGATCTTGGATATTTGTGTGCTCTTGGATGTTTTGGTGGTACTAGATGTGTTAGTTGTCTCTTATGTTTTGGTGGTCATGAATATTTTGGGTGGTCCTGATGTCTTGGTGATCTCTGATCTTTTGGTGGTCCTGCATGTTGTTGTAGTCTCTGATGTTTTCGTAGTCCTGGGATGTCTGCCTGGATGAAATCAGTAAATCTACTAAGGGTTTCTTAACCTTGGTATCTGGTTGGTATCTGCATCATCTGACCCATCACAATCAATGAAAATCTGCTGTAGGCAGAGCAGTCATTTTTACAAATAAAGAGAAAACTGTAATATTTTTAAAGTAATGCTCTCCAGATGAATGACTGATATTACAAATAAGTTGTTTTTGTCTCAGGGTCTGTTCTGAGTAGGTGAGACACACGGGTAGCTGGTTACCTGTCTGTAAGTAGAGATCTCCATTGGTCCTGATGATCCAGGCCGAGTCGTCACTCAGAGCCACAAAGGCTGTTTGCTCCACAGCTTTGTACCAGTGACGTTTTCCTTTGACTGAGACTTTAGCACAAGCAAATGCCGTCATGCTCCGCTGTTCCACCTTCCACAACAGATTACCTGATGTAGCAACCAACAATTAACATCCTGCTATTGCTACACACACACACACACACACACACACACACCTCTGAAGCAGTCTACTTCAACGAGAGATCGGGCCTAAGTTCTAACTGTAAGCTGAAGTCAGTTTCTTTGTAGAAGGGTTAACCCTCACCCTCACGGGTTGTTAACAGCAGGTGGCATAGTACCAGTGTACGGAGGATTTGTCAGGGGAGCTGCTGGGGTCTCACCTGAGGGTGACAATGCCACCTGGTGGACGTTGTCTTCAAAGCGCTGCCAGTTGAGCCCAGTTTCAAGTAGGCCGCTGCAGAAGAGTCCTCCTTTAAAGTCCAGACACCACACATACCTAAAACATACAGGTCACCTGTAAGACTCTGAGCAGGTATCTTTAATTCAGGACTAAAACACAGGTCAGATGTAAGAGACCGAGCAGGTCGCTTCAACTCATACCTGAATCAAAAAAGCCTTTCTTTAGTCAGCTGACTACCCACCTGTCAGTCACCTGCAGGCTCAATATTCCACATCCTGGTCCCGAGTAACCCATCCAGCTTTCTGCCAACTACAAAGAGAAAAGACCAAATAATATTATTACCTGCTGCCAGATTCACCTGGTAAGATAAGATAATATATTACTTTATTAGTCCCACAATGGGGAGATTCACAGGAACGCGGCAGCAAAGTGGATAGTGCACACAAGATGCATGGTAACTTATTTTAATCATTTCTGTTATAGGACTTATAGGAATGTATTATGCATCTTTTACATTGTTCATTCTGTACACATGACATCCATTGTAGTCTGTCCATCCTGGGAGAGGGATCCCTCCTCTGACGTTCTCCCTAAGGTTTCTTCCCTTTTTTCCCCATGTTCGTTCCCCCCAGTAACTAAATATACTAAGAATTAAATAAATATGTCTATATGTACACATAGTGTATCACAGTGGTTATTGCTTGTTGTAATTTTAATTGCACGTATATTTTAGTGTTCTTTGGTGAATTATTGTCCTGTGGTTCACTCGGTGCACAGTTGGTTGTGCAGCCAGTCTCCTTCACACACTGGGGGCGAATCAACCGCTGGCTGAAGGAGCCGTACAGAGCTACCAGGGCGTCCACCATAGGGTGGGAGGTGTTGCTCATCAGGGTTGATAGCTTAGTCATTATCCTCCTGTCTCCCACCACTTCCACAGTGTCCAGTGGACACCCTATCACACTGCTGGCCTGCTTGCTGGCCTTCTTGATGAGTCAGGTTTAAGTTTCTTTTCTTCGTGTCTCACCTGGTCAGGTTTCAGTGTGTCTCTGTCGTTGGTGTTGGGTTCCACCTGTGGGTCTGAGGTCTTCTCCGTCGGATGAGGTGGAGGGTTAAGGACTTGACAGTAGATGTCTTCCTCTTCATCACTGGACATACCAGGTCTTATTTCCAGACTGGACATGGTGGAGTAAAACATCTGGTCTCCCAGAACAACAGGAGGCACCTGCTCATCATTCTGTATGTAAACACAGAGGAAATCCTCAGTGATAGTTATATGTTTATATCCATGTATGTATCACCTCATCCACCTTTTCCTCTGGTCCAATCAGTGGGCTCAGAAACCCTCCCTCCTGCTCCTCCATTGGCTGCTGCTCCTGTTCATCATTCTCCTCAGTGTTGTGCATGTAGGAGAAGGTGCACTCCAGCAACAGATCCACATTGAGGGCCAGAGGGTCAACCTCAGTGCCAGGATCAGAGGCCTTTCCTGGGTCCTCCACACCCCGGAGTAGCTGAGAGCTGGGACAAGACAACAAAGTTGAGACCTAAAACTCGGTAAAAGCTGGACACACACAGACAGTCCTGGTCACTAACCCCGATTGGTTGGTGGAAGACTCCGCCTCCTGTACGTCACTTAAACCTCTATTAAAATGCTCTACTTTCTGTGAGATCTGATCCTTGATTGGCTCAGATGAGTGCTGGCTGTGGAGGTCCAGATAAAAGAGGGAGGCTCTGTCACTCAAAGGAGTTCCACTTCCACTGTCATTACAGCTGCCGTCCTGGACTAAAAACATGGAGTCTGAGCATCTGCTCTCAGAGAGGTGGCTTCCACTGCTGCTGTCTGCGGGTGGAGAAAGAGGCACAAAGTTAAATTTGACAGGGCAGGAGCTACATCATGGGAGGCACTTATGCACACCTGGTGGTGATTAGGGCGGAGCTTATTGAACCCAGCTCTGATTACTTGTGTTTCACCCACTTCACCTCTATCGCCCTTGCTTCCCTTTTTCACCCCCGTCTTCTAACCAAGTTCTTACCTTAGTCCAACCACCTGCCCTCTTGACCACATTCCATATTCTACAATCTATCGCTCCTGATCTTCTTCCTTTCCTCGCCTCTCTCATTAACACTTCCTTGTTATCTGTCCCCAACTCTCTAAAGGAGGCAAGAGTCAACCCTCTCCTGAAGAAACCCACCCTCAACCTATCTGAAGAAAACGAATACGACCGTCTCTCTTCTTCCCTTTTTGTCCAAAACTCTTGAACATAATACCTTTAGCCAACTCTCCTCTTATCTCCACCATAACAACCTCCTTGACCCCCACCAGTCAGGCTTCAAGGCCGTTCCACAGAGACTGCAAGGAGAGCAGTCTCTGTGGAAGCCGGGCAGAGCTGAATAGATTGATCGCTCGCTATGTTGAAGATGAGATGCATCCTGTCAACTGTCGAGTCAGTTGCCTTTTGTAGTTATTTTGACTGTTCAGTACTATTTATATTCATTACATTTAAAAAGCAGACATAAAAGTAACGTAAGTACTTTTATGCGTACTTTTGATACACAGTAACTGGTAAATAATTCAATTACCTTTCAAAGAAGTAACTAGTAACTGTAACTAAATACTCATTTTCAGTAACTTGTAGGGGTGTAAGATTCATTCACTGAATCGATTAATCGATTTATATTCCTGCGATCCAACTGAATCGATCTGTGCTCCGCAAATCGGCATTCCGGACGACATATATCGATTACAAATCGATTGAAATGGTACATAATCAATTTGTATCGATACTTGGAAACTGCACATTGGATTTAAGTACAACAACGGTGTGGATGTGTGTTTGTGTGTTTGTTTTTAAACGTTACTGGATTCAGTCTGCCTGTCTGTGACGCAGCGGCCGCCGCGCGAAACTCTGAACAACAAAACACAGCGTGGAGGAGACGACTGCGAGCGAGACATTTACAAACCAACTTATCGATCCAGTGGAAACATTTTGGCTTTTGCAAACACGGAGGTGTTCTAAATAAGTCGCTCGCTGTTTGTAGAATATGTAGAAGACAAATAAAAAACCACGGAAACACGACGAATCTTTCCGGCCGTCTACTAAGGCGCCGTGGGATGAAACATCGCCGACAGTCAGGACCTCTAGCAGCGTCACCGCTGCAGCAGCAGCAGGTAACTCCAGCTCTGCAGACGCCTCAGGCCTCGCCAGCACCAAACTCAACATCACAGGAACAAGTTCATCTGTAAAGACACGCGACCCTACGATGTGGTTGAACAACGGGGTTCTGTGAATTGATCCAAACATTGTGTAATTATTGTGTAATGTTTACATTGAAAATGGCACTTGATTCAAATAAAAGGTTAATACATTTGCCATTAATTGTTGTTTGCTTGTTTATAATATCCGTAATTAATTTAAACCTGATTTCCTTACAGGAAACAACAGGGATCTCAGAAACTTTGCCGGCACTGTCCAGTAAAGTTACTGAATCGATTTCAAGTCACTGAATCGAATCGAATCGTTCTAAATTAACCCAGATTGTCCATGAATCGAATCGGCAACCATGAATCGCGATTCAAATCGAATCGTTGTTAAAATGAATCGTTACTGAAATTGCACGTTCTTGTTTGTATCCCTATGGTGGAATGCAGTTATTGTAAGTTCGCTTTTGATAAAAGCAGCTTACTGATTAACTTGTGTGCATTATGTCAGAGCTGAAGTGATTAGGGTGGAGCTTATTGAACACCTGGTGGTGATTAGGGTGGAGCTTATTGATCACCTGGTGGTGATCAAGGTGGAGCTTATTGACCAGTCGGCGTGTCTGCTTGCCTTGGCGTCTCCTCCTCTTCTTCTTCACTCGGACGGCCTTTACAACGAGCTCTTGCTGCAGCCCCTCATGGCCCAGAGGGGCGCTGTAACACCTGGAGCTCAGCTCACAGGAAGTGTTTCCAAGGAGATTCTCGCAGGAAGTAACAGAGCTGCTGCGGCTACGAGAGGTGCTGGGTTCCATCACCTAGACACACAGTCACAGGTTAGTCCACCCGTCTGGAGGTGAAGGTGTCCAGTGTTTTCCCCTATCATTATATCAGGGGGGCGCCGTGCCCTGAAAAAGTCTGGATTCCTAAAAATAAATAAAAATAAGGTTTTTCTTTTTCGCCCATGGTACTTCCACTCGGACACGTGTGCGCATATGCTCCAGTGAAACAAGAGTTGTAGATAACTGTCAGTCACCTCAAGCTGCTCTTCTGCCTCCTCCACTTCCTCTGTCTTTCCTTCCTTGCTGGGCCTCTCCCATCCTCCTTCCTGCTGCACCCTAACCCCACCTTCTACAATGATAGACATGGTCCTGATTGGCTGAGCTGTTTCAACTGATCCAGTAGGTGGGAGGATGGTGGGCGTGGCCAAAGGTGAGTGCTGATGGACAGAGAGCTCCAGCACTGAAGAGGAGAGACGGACGGGATATACATTCATGTATGTTATGTATACATACATGATGTTGTGTAGACGCCACTCATTGTGGAACTATGACTAGTAGTTGTAATAATAATAGTGGTACTATTATTAGTAATAGTAGTACTCATAGCAGTACCTTTAATACTAGTCATAGAACTTGTAGTTGTAGTACTTACGGCTGGAAGCTGGTCCCTCAGGACAGTTTGAGAGACGAATGATGTCTCGGTCTCCTTTCAGGATGAAGATCTCGTTGTCACAACATGACACCGACACAATATCTCCACTGCTCTCTAAGGCTCCGATCACCACCTTCAGACAAAGTACACCTTGTTAACGTCCACAATCAATCAAGTAGCAATTACTCTAGTACCTGGCTACGACAGTCCAGGACATAGATACTGTACTAATTTAGACGGTATCATAGGCACTTGTGGTACCTCGTTATGACAGTCCAGGACATAGATGCTGTACTCATTCCAGCTGAGAATCCATCCATCTCTGAAGAAACAGCTGAGCAGACCAAGTTGTCTGTCCTCTGGACGGTAAGCTCCGATTGGACCAGGACGAGGAAACAACTCAAACTGAGGAATCTGATTCAAGAAGAGAAAGGCAAATGGGCAGAAAATAACTAAATGTAATTCAAGTCGTTATCAACATCACCGGAGAATATTGAAGCTTTATTTGACATTGCATACAGATCCGGCAGTAAAATTAATCTTATTAGCAGTAGAGTAATATTAGTAGTAACATTGGCATTACTAGGAGCAGTAGTAACATTAGTAGTAATGTAACAGGATGTATGATTCCACTTGCCATCTCTACAGATCATGGTACCCAACGGTTACACTGCCGCAGGGTGTCTAGTAAGTTGGTCCTTAGCAAGCTCCCTAGCCACTTGCTAATTCGGTTAGCTCATGTTGTTTATTTTGTCTAACTGCTAAAACGTTTGATGCCACGAGGTGTTCCTCTGAGGACGCTAAACCCTGTATGTTCACCAGTTTGCCTTCTTGAGTGGTAACCTGATATAAACGGCCAGTTGGAGGCAAAACGTGACTTGTGTCCTGGTGATAAATGCATAACGCAAGAGAGAGTACAACTGCTACAGTAAGATTGGCTCTAGTAACATTAGTAGTAATATTGGCACTAGCAGTAGTAACATTAGTACTAGTAGCAGTAGGCGTAACATTAGTAGTAACATTGGCACTAGTCACATTATCACTAGTAGCAGTAGTAGTCACATTAGCACTAGTAGCAATAGTAGTAACTGTGTAGTAGTAATTGTGTGTACTATCTAGCACTAGTAGTAGAAGTAATGTTACCACTAGTAGCAGAAGAAGTAACATTGGCACTAATAGTAGTAGTAATATTGGACCAAACCAAAGCCATGTACAGGGATATAAATCAACTTTCTTCTCCTAAATAGTTCACTTCAATGAGAAATATTCCATCACATAATCTGTGCTTCAGAGTAGAGTCAATATCCCCAGCATGTTTCCTGTGTACCTGAGTGCTGAAAAGCGGTTTAAGCTGTCGAGTGTCCTCCACCTGTCCTCTGATGTCAGACCTCCAGAGTCGGAGTCCAGGACGAGCAGCAAACACCTGAAGATCGCTCTGCTTACAAAGAGCTGGCAGGAAGCAGGCGCCGAACCTCCCGCTGCTGAGACCAACACCATACTGTCAACACCTGTCATCTAAAACGATTTCTTCGAGTATCTACTGTGGACATGAACACTATAAAGTCTTTAGTGACCCGCTTTATCAATGAGGGTCACTAAAGTCAAAAAAAGGAAATGGGTGTAGCCGGATTTCTATGAGTTCATAATGTTATGAAGGGGGCATGATGGAGCAGACACAGGACCTGTGGTATCAGTTGATTATGGGATGTATTTGCATGTAGCGGTACGTAGTACCTCTTGCGGGGCCTGGTGCCCAGCTGCCGGACTTTCTGATTCTGTGTGCAGTAAAGCAGAGATCTGTGCTGTGTTGAGATCAGCAGCACCTGGTGACTGTACTCCACTTGAACCACACCTGAGGCCTCCTCCAGCAGCAGCACGGGTTCACACACACCCTGTACACACAAATACTGACAGTCAGAACTGTGTGTACTATCTAGCGATAATTAGTCATCGATTTACTTCATTGACTAATTGATTTCAGGAATCGGGAAACATTTGTTGCCAAAATATGTCAAACATACAAGGAGTTTGTCTTGGCAGTTGGTGCGTGACAGTAGACAGTGAAACAATAGACAACAAGACAGCAGTGCACAAGTAATAAAATAAAGTAAAATGAAATGCTAATGGAATGGGTTAGTAGAATACGGCTATGGGTTAGTATAAAACAAGGGAATAAAGTTAAAGTTAAGAATTTAAAATATTTAAAAAGTTTAAAAATATTAAGCATAAAGTGCACTAACGAACAAGTGACAAAGTGACGAGAGACGACAAAGTGACGAGAGGTCAAGGAAAGGTTTTACAGAAATACCACATATGTATGAATGTTGTTTTTTTTAAATGAAGATTAAGGAACTAATATTTCTTTATCATAACATAAACACAATGATGTCTCACTTTTAATGTGCAGTATTGTGTTTATATGTTACCTGATCTAAGTCCAGAGAGGAGAAGACGACTCGTCCTTTGTCATCTCCTGAGAACAGCTTCATTCCGTTGCTGCTCCACGCTAAAGACGTGACAGAGCCTTTATGGAGGCCCACCACGTCAAACCGCCTCAGCTAGAGAGAGACAGACAGGTCCTACAGGTGAGTTACACCTCCACAGAGAGAGGGAGACGTGTACTACAGGTGAGTTAAACTTCTACAGAGAGAGACGTGTACTACAGGTGACTTAACGCTGGCGCATGCGTCTGCGTCTTTATGCACCGTCGCGTCGACGCACTGGTTTCACTTCCTGGTTGTAAAGTCCTGCGTGTGTTGCAGAGCGATTCACCTCCAGAACAACAGGTGGAGTCACGTGTTTTGTTGAAGACGACCTGGAGAGTCACGTCTTTGTGTGTGGAAGTCGCTGGTTGCTTTATTTACTCAACATTTGTGGAGATCTCCCTCCATGAATCAGAGGCCATCCGGCGTCCTCATAGTCCGCCAATGACGGCTTGTACAAGCGCTCATATTTACGCATTTCTTCCCACAAAAGCTCTTCAATCTGATCCGTTCTCTCGTCAACGTTCTTCCTTTTAATAACGGCCGTATTGTGCAGTGAAAACGGAGACGTGAGACTCCGTAAAGGACGTAGTCAGCAGACCAATCACAGCCTGGTGCTGCAGGAGGCTGCGTCGCTTGCGTCGAAAGCGACGCAAGCCTAGAAAAATGGGTCGACGCACGTGTGATGGGTAGAGCTCCCTCTACCTGTTTGGCCACAGCACTTTAATCAGTGATTCCCAACAGGTGAGGCCAGATTACTTCCTGGTTTAAATGTAGGGTTTGCCCCAGGTCCAGGACTGGGCGCTGAAGGGGACTAGTCGTAGAGCTCCCACCTATCTGTGCAGTCTCCAGGTGTGTGTGTTTGTAGTGGAGCGGGCGGTGTTTTTGGTTTCGTTTGGATGTGCTCTGTAGCGGTGCCGTGATGTTGGGTGGAGTTTTGTACGTTGTGTGTGTGTCTGACATGTGCTTCTTTGTTTTGTGGCAGGAAGGGGGAAGTGATGTTGGCTTTTCGGTGATTGCTGAGTTCGAGCCACTGCTTCTTTTGCCCCTTTGCAAATATATTTTGTATTTGTGGTTACTTTGTTTTATCCAGTATTTTGATTATGCATTGTTAGTTAATTTGTTTTCTCTCCAGACAAGTTGTTGTTTAGTTGTTTCTTTGTTCTTTTCCTTCGTAAACCAACTGGAGTGGGTCCTACTCTGGGATCCTCAATGCCAGTACAGGTGGGCTGGTCATAGGTCTGTAGGTCGTGGTTCACTAGGTGGAGGGCTTCCTCATTCATAGTTTATTTGGCATGTTTTATATTTGTTGTGCGTTTTGCTTTGCAGTGTGTGTGTGACTTTTCCTTTCCGGTCCCTGGTGGTGGCCCCTTCCCCCTTCACTCTCCCACTCCCTTACACCTCCCTGATAGTCACCTTGTGCTGGTAAAACATCTCAGTGTAGCGACATCAGCAATTTTTAGCATAGAATATATTTTTGTAATAAAAGCCTTATTTTTTTAAATCAAGACTGTTAACCAACATGAAGCCTATCCATAAATAAAACTGTACACTGTTCAAAAGAAACTAGAAATTCACCTCTGCTCCCTTTCTTAAAACAAATGAACCTAATATTTATATCCTTTCAGTTAATGTTCAGCTTGGTTGGAGAAACACAATATAATCGTAATATGTTTAATTTCCCTCTCCTAGCCAGCTAACACTGTTAGTGTTAAAGTTTAAAATATCATGTTACTGATAACAAGTAATGTTAATTATGTTGTATTGTAAGCTTGTATTCCATAGAACAAGGCACATTTCATCTTTCTTAAAGTTCTCATTGAAGACAACAAGCTTCTGCTGTTGTCTGTTCTTATTGTCTTCTGTCACTATCACCTCATGGAGTAGAATTGGGAGCGAGGCTTAATTAGATAAGAGTCCGGGCCTGAATGCATCTATACGGTCTTATTTAGTAAGTCTTCACGCTTACTTACATTGTTCATTCTGTACACATGACATCCATTGTGGTCTGTGCATCCTGGGAGAGGGATCCTCCTCTGATGTTCTCACTAAGGTTTCTTCCCCTTTTTATCCATGGAAGGGTTTTTCATTGTTTGGGAGTTTTTCCTGTGCTGATGTGAGCGTTTCGGGACAGAGGATTTCTCATGTGTACAGACTGTAAAGCCCTCTGAGGCAAACTTGTAATTTGCGATTTTGGGCCATATAAAATAAAATGAATTGAATTACTTACAACAAGAAGTTAACGTTCCAAAGGTCACACATTACACAGTGTGTACAACATAAACATGAGACTCACCTGTTTGTTTCGACCAGGAAGTGGAGACACCAGCTGGAAGACTGCGACTCGACCCGATGCTGTTCCCACAGCTACAAGATCATCAAAACAGCTGAGAAGCTTCACAGCCGTGATCGCATCACTCTTCCCCTGTAGCACACACACACACACACAAACACACGGTTATTCTGACTCTTTAAACTGAAACAGCTTTGTTCAAATTGAACATCACCAGAATTACGAGGATCACTTGAACATAGCTGACGTTGATCCAACGTGTTTCAGACTGACATATCTGATGAGGACAAGTGTGTCTGCTGCAAAAACCAGTGTGAGCACCACAGCAGCAGAAGAAGCACTGACCTCCAGACTGTACTTGTTCATGGTTGCTAGGCGACGACAGTACAGGTAGAGCATGCCTATGCTGCTGCCCACAGCCAGGAAGTCATTGCTGCTGTCCAGAGCCGTCAGGTACACCAGGATGGACCTGAACCCGCGCTGCACCTGTAGGGAGAATCACATTAACACAATCATCATCATACTACAACTGGACAGCCTCCTAGTTGGGACCGGTCCGGTACCTTGGCTGGAATTGCATTCAGCACATAGTAGAGTGGGCAGAACTCTCTCAGGACAGAAGGTGGAGCTGCCATGGTTCTGCTAATGTGAACTCAACTGGTCCTGAAAGCAAATTCAAAACATCCATTAAAAAACAAACATGTTAAACCAGTAACATAAACATGAGCAGATAACCCCATTGATCTGTCAGTCTCAATTGTCAATCAGACCTTTTAGTCTTGTCAGTCCTACCTTTCAGGCTCATCTGTCAGTCTCACCTGTCAGTTTACCTTTCATCTGACGACACACAATACTGTTAAACATTACGAGTCGTTTGGGATTTATTACAGGTAGCAACATAAAAAAGTATGATTATTATGTAAGGTGTATTCAGCTCTTCCCGTTCTGAAGCGCAGAAAGGAAAAAGTATAGTCCACATAATTTAAAGCACGAATAAAAAGCAGCAGCCTAGCGAGGTTAGAAATCTTAAAGGGGGTTTTGCAGTGATGCTTGTCCTGCTAACTTGATAAACATCTTAAATATGCCTCTTGTTTTACGTAGTTTGTTGTGAAGGCCGACGCGTCCGCTCCATTCTGCTCGGCAGGCCGTTGCCTTAGTAACCGCGGAACATGACAGCTACCGCTCCAAAAACATCATGACGTCATATGAACGTCGGGATCAGAGCTAGCTTCTCCAACACACAGCACAGGCTAGCTAGCATCTTCGGTAAGCAGCTAACTCAATGTTAGCATGCTAACGTTCGCATCTGGAAGAGGAGTCGGTCTCTTACCAAAAGCGGCTGCTAAAGGATTCAGATGTTCAAGATGTTTGACTAACACAACGATATTAAGGAGGTGAGAGGAGACATCGCCGTCTGTCTGACAGCTTCCTTATTCATGTGGTACCGAGCTGCTGTCAACAAACAGCTCCCCCACGGGCAGAACTCGGTACTGCATCCCCAGTACGTATACATAGCCATATATTTATAAAAAGTACGAAGCATCACTGCAAAACCCCCTTTAAGATTTCTAACCTCGTTAGGCTGCTGCTTTTTATTCGTGCTTTAAATTATGTGGACTATACTTTTTCCTTTCTGCGCTTCAGAACGGGAAGAGCTGAATACACCTTACATAATAATCATACTTTTTTATGTTGCTACCTGTAATAAATCCCAAACGACTCGTAATGTTTAACAGTATTGTGTGTCGTCAGATGAAAGGTAAACTGACAGGTGATACTGACAGATGAGCCTGAAAGGTAGGACTGACAAGACTAAAAGGTCTGATTGACAATTGAGACTGACAGATCAATGGGGGTTATCTGCTCATGTTTATGTATATATATATATTATGTAAGGTTCCGTGTCAATAAAGAGCCAGTTTCTTATCACTCGGGTTTATTGTTGCCTGTTGTCGGCCACAGCCACGCCATTCCACAACACCCGGTCATTTTCTAGTCGGAACTCAACTTCCCCTTCCAGTGCTCCCCGAAACTACACACATTACCCCGGAACCCTGGCCTACGTAACAGTAACATTAATCAGAACCATATACATTTATGAACTTAAGACACGCTACAATATATATCTCTATATATCTCTCTCTCTCTCTCTCTCTCTCTCTCTCTCTCTCTCTCTCTATATATATATATATATATATATATATATATATATATATATATATATATATATATATATATATATATATTTATTTGCAGATGGTTCGCAGGGACTTGCGTCTGTCTCATGCTGACTTTGCGACATCTCTGGCGGAAATACTGGAGATGGCTGATCGCAGGGTCTTGCTGATGCCCACGAAAAACAAAAGCTATACTATGATGAATGACACGTCAGCAACCGTATCGGGAAGGGGATCTCGTATGGCTGCAAAATCCTATAGAGGACCACCTGAAACCCTACAGGGTCCTGGCTGTGTTGGACTCTCAGGGAGAACAGGGACTCATCTATCTCGGGCCGTCCACAAACCGGAGCAGGCGGTTCATTATAACAGATTGAAACCTTATATCTATAGCCATGGGTCACTATTGACTCCGAGACTGCGTTGGTTTCGCACCCCGGTGAACCTCAACAGACCGTGTCTCTTTCAAATAGAGTAATGAGGGAGCCAGCTTATCGCTGATGTTTCAGTGATAAATGTGTAAATATGTTGGTTGACATGTTTTCGTCAGGGTAGCTGCACATGCCTTATTGGATATGTGTCCAAACGCTATGGGGTATCAACGATTTCTGGTGTCTGCGGTTTAGGGTTAGGGTGTGTACGCTATTATTGCACTTGTGTTCCGGTGTAGGTGCTTTTATTGTGAAGCGGGGGACGGAAGTGTGTGTTTTGAGTGGGAATAAAGTTGCTGCCCCCTTGGCGCAGAACCTGAGCATCGTTGTTATTGTTGTATTACTAACCTGACGTATAAGCGCGCCATGAACCCTTGGCTACATTATTATCTTCATCTCAGCCTAATTTCATGATAAATAAAGTAATGATGACCGGAAGCGGAAACTCGGTGACTGCTGGCTGGAAACCATGGGAGCTGGATCCATAATATGAAATAATAAAAATATTCAGTTAAACTGAATAGAAGTGAGATGACGCCTGGAATACTTAAATCTGACATTCTTTCATTTATCTAAAACGTGTGTAATAAAAATTAGATTGATTATTTTCTGGGATCATGAAATATCAGTAAAATACAAATGGGGATTTTAATAGAACTTAATAGATCAATCAATCACACTTACTCAAACAATTGTGGTCACCGTTGCTGCGTTCAATAGAATGTAAAGTTATTATTTATTAAATTACTATTCAAAGGTATTGCCCGTATTGGCTGGGATAGACTCCAGCCCCCCCGCGACCCTGTGTGCAGGATAAGCGGTCCGGTTTATGCTGAATCCAGTCCGGGAAGTCCTAGCTCCCGCGTGCTGCTGACTGCTAAAGTAGGCTAGTACTAAACTCTACCAGCTAACCGCTAGCTTCTGCTAATGTCTCTGTTAACCCTTAGCTGCTTCTACTATCCCCGTTAACCTTCATGTTGTTATTGGTCCTTACGTAGCGTTTTATTCAGCAGCGCGCAGGCGGATTATAACGGGAGACGTATTCGGGGATATCAGGTGGATCTGCTCCGCCGACTGGCACCTAGTCTGAGCGAAGCTAACCGTTAGCCTTTCAGCCAAAATGGCGGATAACGAGGATGACAGCAGTTCGACCAGAACAATAACAACAGCGGAGCCGCCGGGGTCCGGAACTCAGCCCGGGGACAGTGTACCGGCAGGGTCCGGAGCTCAGCTGACCGACTTGTTGCAGAACTGCCCAGAACAACCGAACCTCCTGGTGGGCCCAGATTTCAGCAATTTGGGTTCAGACCTGGTTAACACCACCACCATCATCTACGTGCAGCCGGACGGGAGCCTGCTGGAGGGTTCTGGGCTGTCCGAAGAGGAGCAGCAGGTTCTGCTGGAGCAGCTGACCAAGCAGCAGATCGTCCAGGTCTCCGACACAGAGGCTGCCCAGTTGCTCCAGCAGAGCCAGCTGGTGAAAAACATCCCGGTCCAGAACACGGCCCTGGACCCGAGCCAGCTACAGCAGGTCATCAACCAGGTCACCAAGTCTCAGCAGCAGGTCCAGGTCCCCCAGCATGCTCCGAACCAGCAGAAGCAGGTCCAGGACCCTCAGCAGGACTTAAAGCCCACCCCGCAGAACAATGCTTCCCAGCAACTAAAGAGTGTCGCCCAGCAGGTCGCCATGCAGACTGGAAGCTCCGTGCAGCTGGTCCAGAAGAAGGTGAGTCAGCAGAAGAGTCTGCTTCATCCGGACTGAAGTGGAGTTCCCAGGTCCTGGTTCTGCGGCTCATCCGTCAATATGCACTTTACAACAGCTAGGCGGGGACCCCTTAAGATGTTAGGAGATGATTGACAGTGATGATGCTCAATCATTGGCAGAACACTGAGCCATCTCAAGTAGAAAAGCAGAGCGATGTTTAGATGAGATGACCACTGAGTTATTCGCTGCAAACACAGATTTCTATGGTTTGGGGACGAACAACTGATCAAATCGTAGCAGTGAGGGAAACCTTGGAGACCGATACCTATTCATCTTAAGCAGTGTTTTTCTAAGGTTTACAACTTCGGGGGTAGTAGTTGTTTTACAATCAAACAGTTACTATGGAAATGATCATTTTACCACTATAAGATCTCCAATGCCGACCAGATTCTGACCAGATCCAAACATTCAGGAGGACTATGCAAAATATCTCCAGATTAGTGAAGATGTGGTCTGAGATTTATAGACCACTCTGACCTGAGTCATAGAGATTCTATGTTTATTTTCTGTCGATATGAATCGCATTTGGAATAGATTTAATTTAATTAATAGTGTTTCCCCTACCATTATATTGGGGGGGGGTGTCTGTCCCATACGGGTGAGCACACGCCAACAGACGTCAGAAAATGTGTCGGTGTGAGTCACCCCCCCCCACAGCCGTAAACCAAGGGGAAACCCTGTAATAACAGTAGGATTTAACAACGTCACTAAAACTACTTAAGAGTGGTTCTGTAGCGTTCTGCTACATGCATGCTCGTCATCATCCGGACATCCGGATACATGTTCATCACAGGTTTCATCCCTTTCGCGTTATCCTCTGTTTTTCTGTCCTTTCAGTCGGAGCCTGTCCGGATTCAGATCCAGGTTCCCCCCAGAAAGGAAGTTAAGTCTGTCTCGGGTGTAGCTGTCAATCATCCACAGGTGAAGCTTTCGGCCAATGGTAGCATGAGCAGCGCTCAGGTCATCCACATCCAGCCTGTGGTTGGTCAGCCGGGTCAGCAGTTCTTCCTGCAGCAGAACCCCGGGGACCCCCCCATCCAGCTGCTGCTGCAGAGCCCTGGTCCCTCTGTGGGATCTCTGCTCCCATTGGTTCACAAGCTCACAGGCCAGACAACATCGGTATGCACTAATCCGAGTCAGAAAGCCACAATGTCCCCTATCAGAGTTCAGACCACCTCCATTGCCAAGAGCCCGGCTTCCTCTGCCCCGCTAACCAAAAGTCCAGCTAACGGTACGGTGGCAGTGGCTAGTAAGAGTTCAGGTAAACTACCCACCCTCATGGCGACAGCAGAGACCCCCACACCTGCTGTTACACAACCCACCACAGTGGCCCCGCTCCCAGCAGTAAAGGACAGGGAGAAAGAGAAGAAGTCAAAGAAGAGAGAGAAGCGAGCGGTAAAGGTCCAGACCAGATCTGGTCGAGTCTCCAGACCACCAAAGTACAAAGCCAAAGACTATAAGTTCATAAAGACGGAAGACCTGGCAGACGGCCATCAGTCCGACTCCGACGATTACTCTGATATGAGTGTGGAGGATGAGGATGGGGGCAGGAAGGATGGCCCAGCCCCTGGCGTCTCTCTCACCTACAGCCACAAGTCCCGGTCCCACCGCTGCCAGACCTGTGACAAGGCCTACATTGGTCCGGGAGGCCTGAACCGGCATTACAAACTGAACCCCACCCACGGAGAGCCCGATCTGCCCGACAACGCACCACACCCCCTCAGAGATGACAGCCAATCACAGGAATTGGAAACCAGAGGTGTCAGAGAGGAGGGGGAGGACCGGGAGGAGGAGAGGACAACAGAGGACAAACCTGTTGACTCAGCATCAAACAGAGTAAGAGACCAATCAGAGCTCAGGTTTATTGTGCACAGTCTGACTAATTACTTTGGTTTATTATTAACTAATTTTCCTGTGTGGTGAACTGACTAGTTAAGTCAGCACCTCCTGACTAGTTATTCATCACCAGTTTATTGTCTATCTGTCTTCTGGTGGAGGTGGGTCCAGTACCTGCTGTAGGACTCAGGGGCCTCAATCCCCGGGGCCCTGGCAGGCCTCGAGGAAGAGGCCGAGGACGAGGACGAGGGCGGGGCAGATCACTGGGGCCGCTTCCTAAGGTGGGTTCACACCTGTACAGTACACCAGGCTGACACTGTATCAACATAAGAATACACAATAAATACGATTAAATTAGAATCAAACATCGGTTACCAGACTAGAAGGGAAGGAGTGATGGAAACTTCCACGATGAGAGGAAGTTGAGTGAAAGCTCCGGGACGCATTGATTAGTAATGCTGATGTGTACACACCATGTGCAGTGATTCCCCATGGTTTGCAACTCCAGGGGGAGGGTTTGTGGGGCTGATATGATGGTAGGGGAAACACTGATGCCGTGTACGGGGCCTCTGTTAATGTAACACCCCTGAACTACATGCTGGGTAGAGCACGGTGGATTCTACCCGTTATGAACTCTGCCATATAAACTGTCCTCTTATTGGTCGATTCTCTCAGGTGCAGGTGGGCCTTGTCAGTAGGCGGGGCCGTCGTGGTCGACCTCCAAAGCTGGCTGTCTCCATGGTTACCGCAGAGCAACTGGCGGAGAGGCGACGAGACAGGCTGCAGGAGGTAAGATAAGGAAGTACAGATGTGTTCTTTTACCTTTTACAGCAGCGATTCCCAAAGTGTGGGCCGCGCCCCCCCGGTGGGCCGCGGTCCAAGGTACTGCAGGTAGGCCGCGAGAGGTCATTTACAATAAATAAAGTTTTTTTTTTATTTTCAATTTTTAAAAGTTTGAAATTAATATAAAAATATTTATGATGCGGCACATTAGTTATGTGAAACATTAGTTGATGAAGCACAAACAATTTAAACGGACAGATTAATAAAACAATAAGGCTCTCGCTCCAAACGGCTGCTCTTGTCCGCCTGTCGTTGATCAACAAACGCGGCGCCCTCTTGTGGTATTAAAGTCAATACACCGCATTGTCCGCACTCCAAGGCGCATTTAAGAGCCTTTAATTTCCTCAAAAAACGACAGTGTCTTATAATCCGGAGCCTTATATATGGATCAATTGGTTAATCGGTTGATCCATACTGGTTGTACACGGCGCTCAAGGCGCTCTGCCAAACACGCCAAAGCTCGTCTACGACGGCGAGATGCTGAGCGGCGCTCAAGCGCGTGAGATACGGAGCTGCTTTCAGGGCGCGTCGGAGAAACAAAGCTGTCGTTCTCGCCGAGCACTTCATGAGATTAAAGAGCGAGAGACGGCGCCCTTTTCTCTACAGTAGCTGAACCATCTTAACGGGGAAATAAGTTATTCTAAAAGCAGCCGAAGATTTAAGGCGTGGATGGCGAGCAGCGAGCGCGTAGAAAACTCCTTCGAGCGCGAGCAGAGATTCTCCTCGCGAGCAACGAAGTTCACGTTTCGCAAGCGAGCAAATACCTCGCGGAGACGGACTTTTGCTCGCGGATGTTTGATTTTGGTTAAATTCTTAAGGTCATTTAATCATCCCTAGTTTATGTTTTGATCAGAGTTGTGATTAAAGGTTTGGGTGGGCCGCCAAAGATTTTCAGATTTCAAAATGGGCCGCGGCGTCCTTGAGTTTGGGAACCGCTGTTTTACAGGATGAAATGACCATAATGAAGACCAACCAATGTGTCCTTGTTTCCACGACAACCATGTGTTCACAGCTAGTGCAGCAGTGTGAGGACGAAGAGTTGATGGACGTTGTTCTCCCGCGTTTGACCAAAGTGTTGAGTCTGTGGGAGGTGCTTTTGGCAAAGGTAAAGTGTGTGTGTGTGTGTGTGTGTGTGTGTGTGTGTGTCTGTCTTTGTAAGACATTTGTAAGGCTTTGGGACTCCAAAGAGCCATTTTCCACAAACGGATTTGACTTAAAGAGAAAACAGTGGTGAACCTTCCCACGAGGGTCCGATGACTCCAGGAGGTCGAAAAAGACCCCAGAATAACTTGTGCAGCTCTCACTGGCCGCCGGTAAGGTCAGAGGTCATGACTTAACAATAACAAAGAGACATGGCAAACATGGGCTCCATGGGAGTTCAAAGGAGAAAGCCACTGCTGACCAGGAAGAGCACAAAGGCCAAAGTGGAACTTTTTGGAAGCTGTGTGTCCTGTTACGTGGATGCAGTCACACGTGGGGTTTAGAACTCATGGTTGATTTATCACAAGCGCTGGATGGCTGGGGGGGGGGCACAAGCAGCTATTGGGGTTAGGGGGCCATTAATGTTTGACACCAGGCCGTCTGTGTGTCCTCTGGTCCTTTTCAGGTGGAGGGCGGCGATCCGGCTCGGACTCGGTTTCCAGAGATCTACCGTGAGTTTGAGTCCCTGCAGGCGCAGGTGAGACAGGCTGCTCAGGATTACATCATCAGCCCGCAGGGTGGGGTTACACCCCTGGAGGTCAGGAACATTGAGGTAAGGCGTGGTCCTGTGTCTCCCTCCCTGTGAGTTGTACCTAGGAGCATACAGGTGGTGTGTACTGTGTGTTTCAGGTTGCCAGGTCTCTGGGAATCCTGGACGAGGTGAACAGGATGAAGGTGCTTCCTGGAGCGTCTCCCAGCTCCAGTTTGACCAATAAGAATGTCCGATACATGGAGGTAAACGCACAACCATTAGGATCCAGGTGGTCTGATGTCTCTTGATCCAGGTTCAGTCTGATTCAGAAACTGTTTCCCAGAACTCCAAGATGTTGCCGCCTTCAAAGAGATTCAAGATGGAGAACAGCGTATGCCAGAATGGCATAGAGAAGCACAGAACAGGTACAACTATGTCCCCCCCACCCTCCCCCCTCTCCCCACGGCCCCCTACTTTTTACTCCCCCGCTGGCCCCGGTCTCCCCACTGCTGGCCCCGTACTAGACTGTATCCGTATTACATTCTACTGTTAATTTGATCAGTGGATCTTCAGTTGGAGGAATTCACGTCTTCCTTCTTTCTTTTCAATTTTCCTTCAATGTGGGACTACAGTGACCCCTGCGACCTCTGTGCCCTCCTCTCTGAAGCCCTGCTCGGTCTCTGTCTCTCCTCTGGTAATTCCAGCTGGATCCAAACTGCCGACCACCAGTGCCGACCCTGCCTCTAGGTGAGGGGATCGCGGCCCCTGTAGTCTGTGTGTTTAACAGGTGCCACCTGGACCAGGGTTACACGGCTCTTCTGATCCAAACTCGTTTCTTTGGTCCCTCAGCTCCTCTGGTTCCATCTCTGCTAAGCTGCCCTCCACCCAGGCTCTGCCCCCTCTCATGCCCATGGAGGTGACTCCAAGGGACGACCTGGGAATTAAGCCTCTGCAGACTAACATCCAGCTGAAGACCTCGAAGACTAACCAGGACCAGGTCTTGAGCACCAGTGATATCACAGCCCAAATGAAAGAGCTGGAGAAAGCTTTGGGTTCAAGTCCTGAGACGAACATAGAACCAAAGAAACCTGATTTCAGCTCCACTCAGACACCCGAGTCAAGCTCCGTCCAGACTGTGGCTTCCACCCAGTCAGAGGCCGGCTCAGCAGACCCATGTGAGTCCAAAGAACTGCAGGAGGGGCAGGAGATCTACATCCAGACCGAGGGCCTGACGGTTCAGCTGGCAGAGCCCGGTGTGGACCGGATTGTGATTGTCAACGGGCCAGACGGGACCACAATGCACATACAGACACCAGAGGGGGTCCCATTGGAGGCGGTCCAGGCCCTGCTGGGCATTGAGGCTTCAAGCAAAGCCAAAGCTCCTCAGTGAACCCCGACTCATCAAGACCAGAATCTGACCTGAACCACATCACAATGGCAGAGAAATACTTAGTATTTATAAGGTTTACAAAGTAAAAGCTTGACATAATTGAGGATGAAATGATGAACCCAGAAACCTGCAGGAGAACTAACACACCACAGACAACAATTTGAAGATCTGCCAACAAAGACTTCAGATCATCAGATCTGGTGTTTATTTTGTCTTGGCCATAACTCATATGTAAAGATATTATACAGAAACCCTGACAAAAATATACAGCCTGTAAATATGAGCGCCAATATTTAAATGGAGAGATGAGTGTGCGTGTGCTGCTCTACTCGTATTCATTGTTTACGTTCCTTTAACTGGTTCTTTCAATTCCCAGCTGTGATGATGTCGTCGCTCTGGGGAAAAAACCCTGTTTTTCAGAAGGAATCTAAAGCGATTGTAGATTTGTAAACTAGTTCTCCCCTCAACCGCCAGTGTTTCAGAAATTAAACTTGTTCATTTCAAAATAGAAACTGATCAGTTGGCTGTTTATATGTAGGATATTAAAAAAAAGTTAAAAAAAATTGCACTATTTTATTACTTTTTATAAAATAAACATTTTCCAAATGTAAACTGGAGGTTTGTACTTAGAAAAAGGACTGTGAATGAAGGAAAGTGAATCGGTTGGTCATGTTAAACACATTTCATGCTCCTCCAATAAACGGATGTGACTCTCATTTGTGTTGTGATTTCACAAGATGAACATTTAATGAATCAGAGCCTGAGAGTCGTGTTGCCCGTAGCAACAGCTTCTGGAAGGGTGCCGGGAGAGGCCCACACCCTCGGTGATGGAGGAGACACGGCTTGACCCCAGAGCCATCGGGGGGGGTCTTCTGTAGACCCCTGTCATCGCAGATTAGCTCTCTGGTGGTGGAGCAGTACCAAGTGGAATCCATCTTCTCCTGGAGTGATGCCATGCGGATGTGAGGGTGCTGTGGACGCGGTGATCTAAACCCAATAGTGCTGCTCATTGATTGGCCATTAACAACTTGTTGGAGCAAAGGGAGCTTTGTATCAAGCCTCGGATCCCGGAGGAGCGATGCCTAATCCCTTATCAGCTCACTGCAGGTCTATTTGGGTATTGTGGGAGTTTGACCCTCCAGTCTAATAACGTTTTGGGGACTTGTAGTCTTATGACCTTATATACCTCGGGGAGTCCTGTCGGTGGAGTGTTGGGAGGACATACTGCAGGAATTCAGGGTTTCGAGGTCATTTCTAAGAGACCTTGCATGAGCACATTGAGAGCTGTATTGTGATATTTGGTCTTTGTCACCTTTGGGTGGCTGGAGCGGCTTCCGTGCTCTCTGCAGACGATTTGGTTCTAAGGCTCCTTATGAACTCCTATCTAAGCCTGCTGCCCTGGATAATAATAATTAACTCAAGTCAATGACTCAATGAGTCATACAATTGTAACGTACACATTTGAAATTCTGAACAATATGAAACTGATCTGAAACATTCGCATCGCGGCGCTCCGCTCATATGGTAAGGGACATCAGCTGATCCGCAGAGCATCAGGAACTACATATCTGTCTACCTGTTTAAGATGGGTGAAGCAAATGAATTCACATGACTCTGGGGACTAAACGCATCAAAGAGGGTGGTGTCCCGTCTCCAAAAGCACAGCCTCCAGGGTGAGTCTGGTCTGGGGTGTGATGAAGGGCTGATGCAGCCAGCAGGACATATAGATCATGCTGAGGTCAGAGGTTGCAGTGTGGGCGAGTTCCTGCAAGATGGTCTGCTTCAGCTTCAGCTCCTGACTGAAGGATTCCAACAGGACACAAGACGACTCCTCTGAAACAAGAACATATGAGACAACCTCTGAAACAAGAAGACACGCGACAACCGTTGAAACATAGAGAAGACGTAACAGGTAAACTCACTGAAGTGTTTGGCGTTCCAGCTGTGAAACAGAGGAATCTTCCTTCCTTCAAGTCCAAACTGAAACTCCTCCAGATCTTGAACTCCTTGCTGCAGTGCTGTAAGACGTTCCATCTTCTTCACCACCACCACCTGAAAGGTGGAAGATGAAGTTTCTTCTTTGTTGAAAGTTTCCTCTCGTTTAAATAAAGTGAAATGAAGAGTCACCATTTTGTCAATGACATCCTGCAGCTTGCAGCATTCATCCTGCAGCTCTGCAGCTCCACCTGACACAGGTGATGGTGGCGGAGGTGATGAAGACTCGTCCACTCCCAGCAGCTGATCACTCGTAGGACTGAAAGAGAGTAAATTGAATTACATCACATTACATTACATGTCATTTAGCTGATGCTTTTATCCAAAGCGACTTACAATAAGTACATTCAACCATAAGGAGACAAACTCAGAAGAACAAGAAACAAGAACGTGTGATTTCATCAAATAAGCCGCTGTAGATAAGAACCATTATAAGTCCAATGTAAGTGCTGCAGTTAGTTAGTGTGTTAGTGGAGGTAGAGTCTGAAGAGGTGTGTCTTTAGTCTGAAGATGTGAAAGGCTCTCTGTGGTCCTGATGTCTTCAGAGACCTCCTTCCACCATTTAGGAGCAGGACAGCAAAGAGTGGAGATCTAGTCGAGTGTTTTGCTCTCAGTGAGGAGGAACAAGCAGTTTATCACATGCAGAGCGGAGAGTGCGGGTCGGGATGTCGGGTTGGACCAGGTCCTGGATGTAAGCTGGACCCCATCCATTCACAGCGTGATACGTGAGCACCATGTTCTGAACTGGATGAGCCACCGGTACCAGTGAAGAGAGCGGAGGAGTGGAGGAGTGAGGGAGAACTTAGGAAGGTTAAAGACCAGTGGAGCTGCTGCATTCTGGATGAGCTGCAGAGGTGGAATGGAGGTAGCAGGAGACCTGCAGGAGACAGTTACAGTGGTCCAGGAGGGAGACGACAAGAGCCTGAATCAGTACCTGCGCTGCCTTCTGAGTGAGAAGAGGACGAATTAAACTAGTTTAATGAAACTAAACTGATTACAGGAGACTAACCGTGTCAGTGCGATGGCCACTATGTTTCCTGCCACAGTGAATCCGTCCTCGTTGAGTTTTTCCCACCTCGCCATCAGGTTGTGCCAGTCGGCTGCGTTATCTTTGAGTCTTCGGGTAGTTCCTGTGATAGCAGGTAACTTCCTGTTGGCTTGGCTCACTGTGATGTCACCTGACAAGACAACAACAACAAAATCCACAACATGTTTTGGTAGTTTTTATAGGTTTGTTTTAGAAATCACAAAGTGAACTTTGGAGAACTGTTAGACCGTAAATTTAACTCCCAAGCTTTGTTCTAAACTAACAGCTTTCTAGGTGACCCATATTTTTTCTAGATTAACTATCTTTATTCTGGATGTACTAGCAGAATAACAGGATGTCGGAAATCACATATAGATATATGTGGAATCTATAATGTATGATGTCTTTCATTCTTTTATCTCTGAGAAACACTTCTCATGCTCGTTTTTAGGCGTGTAAACGTGAGAACAGCCAACAATCTGCCAACATGCATTCTGATCAATTCTCATCAGGACTGGGGTCCGTTTCAAGAAGCGGGTTTAGTGGAAACTCCGAGTTTGTTCACCCTGAGATGAGGGAAACTCTGGCTTGTCTGTTTCACAAAGTTAAAGAATAAAGTGTTTTCTGGAACACGGCACGTCCTTCTCTGGACGATCCTGTTGACGAATAAGCGGTTTTACTTCGCAGGGTGTTAAAACACGTCGGGTGAGAATATGGATATATTTACTTTTACTTTTAAATCTTTTTGTTGGACACAAACCAGTGAGACATTAAAGAGGAGTTCCACAGGACGCACCTGAATAAAACACATTATAGGTCCAACACCATCGTACCAGTTTATACCAGCGATATTGTTCTTGTGATTAAATATGAGCATGGGTGTGTATTTCAAGCCTGTGTGCAGTACATTCTAACAAAAAAGAGTGTAAAAACTGGGAATTAGTCAAACGTATGTATTAGGATTAGTGTACATTAAATATTAACTGACACTATATTGGAACTTGCACCGTTTCTCTCTTTTGCTGCAGTAGCATGTTGCTTTTTCTTTCTAATTACGGGTTCATACTCGTACGCTTGCATTAATATTTGCAGCTCAATAGGGGTGAATATACTGTTTGTGGTGGTTGTCATGGTAACTCGTAGCATCGTGGCTCCGTTCATGCTGCCTTCATACTGTGATGCTGCACGCGCTCAACTGAGTCAACCGACTCCGAGTTGATTGAACCGACTCAAAACAGCTGTTTTATCTCAGGATGAATCAAGTCAGAGTTTAGGGTTTGACTCAGAGTTTGTTAAACCTCCTACTTGAAACGGACCTCTGATCTCCAAAGAGTGCGTTCACTCACCTTCCATCAGATCCTCCTCTTCCTCTTTATTTTAGTGTAGTAGCAGACTGCTCTCGCTCTCACGTTGACTGTATTCGAACAGTCCTACAGTGGGAGACGCCATAGGGACAAGGGAAGATGGTTAGGAAAGTTCATGAGGAGTTAGGAAAAGACAACGCGGCGATTAGGGAATCCGACTCCACTTTCACTAGGCCACGTGGTTGTGATGCGACGGGAGACGCATGTTAGTGACGTCAGTGTGCAGCGGCGAAGCATTTTCCCAAGATGGACTACAAAGAAGGCATGTTGGATTTACAGATGTTTTATCAGTTTACAGCAGTTTTCAGCCACATTAAGCAGGTTCAGGTTCAAGATTATTGGAAGTTCATAAAATCCAACTAACTTACTAGTTAACACGTTTACTAGTTTACTATATTGCATCAAACAATACAATGTACATGGATGAATGAAAATGAATCGGCGTGTACTCAAATACCCAGTGAGCACAAGACGTAATTTCAACGTTGAAATATGGTTGAAATCGGGTTGAAATGAGGTCTGAACGTCTAAGACCTCATTTCAACGTCTTTTCAACCGGCTAAAAATGGGATAAAACATCAACGTGCCAGAAAACATCAATTTGTTGACAAATGTGTCATGATGTAACGTAAGGTTGAAAGATAGACGATATTAACGTTAAGATTTTCATAATAATTAATGAACTGGTCGGCGAAATTTGGTCTACGCGAAGACGTAATTTCAACGTATTTAATATTTCGCTTAAAACGTTATAAATATGAAACTACGGACTGCGTGCTGTTAATAAGATGCGTTTAAGACATAATAATGCGGGCAGGTTCAAACATTACTTGTAAACACGTAACTCCGCTCACATCTGTAACGCGCATGCGCGAGTTCTTAGACGCCTGCAGAGCACCGAGCGGACGCAGCACGAAGCGAAGTTACGGCAGCAGAGCGACATGAACGGGCTGATAGAACCACGACTACCGGCTCCACTACTCTGTAAGTACGGGAGTGTTTGAATGAAGAACACCTGGAACTATAACCGGGTGTTTTACTTGTGCTGCCCACCCGATACGGGAAAGACGGCCCTTTTTGTTAAGCTAGTTAGCGTAAGCGCAGGTAGTTTGCTAGTTAGCATGCTAGCTTGGAGCATGCTAGCGTGCAGCATGATGACCTGGACCAAAAGTAAACATCCCAGAATATTTTTCGTGTGTTTGGTGTTACTAATGCGTTAGGTTGTTGCTGTACCCATAAATGGTATTGCATTTCACATTGAAAATACGTTTTTAAAGCAATGGGGGCTAAATACAGATTGCAAGGGTGAAGGGCTGAATTCAACAAGTTGTGCTCTGTAAACAAGAGGGACAACACATTGTAAGTTACTGCTGCTTAAAGCATGATACTGTGTAATATACCTGAAAATGTTACTCCAGAAATACCATAAGTTGCAGATGAATTGTTATCTTGTTGATAATGTAATAAGTGAACAATCTATAAATTAGGGTTCTAACACACCTGCTGCTGTTGTTATTATTATTATTAGTTTATTACTGTCATCATAAACCCAAATGACCAACTTTGCCTTTGTGCTTTCCCACCTTACAGGTTTCTGTGGGTGGTGGTTGCATCTGATGTTACGTCTGATGATGGTTGTCCCTGCACTGGTCCTGCATTACCCCTGGCTTAGTAATCCACAATATTAGAATCATTTCTGTCGTAGGAATTGGATGTACTGTACATCTTTAAATTGTTCATACTCTACACACCTACTGCCTTGCTGTTTTCTCCTCAGGTTTCTCCTGGTTGAAGGTTTTTTACATTTTGTGGTTTAGGGGATAGGATGTTGCATGTTTACAGATTGCAAAGCTGAACAAAATAAAATGATTTGAATTGAATAAACACGTTGACCAGAGAAATCTGCAATTGAGGGCTGTTCTCTGCACTCTGACTCCCTTTACACAAAGAATCCTCAAGTGAGGATGAGGGAGATGCAGCTAATTTCAGGTATACTATCCCAACTCAAGTGACTCACAGCCACATCTTGTTACAGAATCTAAAAATGAAGTTCAAATGATTCAGAAAAATGGTCTACAAACACAGAATTGTTGTTGTTGAACACAGAAATGTTTCTGCACTTTTAAATCCATAGTTAATTTCCCTGAAATATATATTTTATTTTTGTATTTTTAATTAGGAAAAGTGTTATATGTATAGTGTTATATTTATAATAAATGCAAATTAATAAAAGAATGTGTTTGTCCTTGTTAAGGGCTGTTAACATGACAACTGTGACTAAGTATGTAACTTGTACGTTTCCAACGAGCAATTTATCCGTTGAAACAACGTTGAAAAGACGTCTATGGCCCGACGTTGAAAAGACGTTGCAAATTGGTTCAAAAGTGAAAGTTGTTTCAACGTCTATTCGTAGACGTTGAAAAGACGTTCGCGTATAGACCCGTTTTCAACGTGATTTATAATATCGGTGGTAAACAAATGTGGACGTAGTTTCTTTTTAAACATCTAAAATAATGATATAGCACACAAGAGAGGACGAAATATTACCGTATTAAAACATCACGTTGAAATGTAGTCTAAACATAGACGTCTTTTCAACGTCTACGAATAGACGTTGAAACCACTTTCACTTTTAAACCCATGTTGCAACGTGCTATTCACGTCTGGGCAAGACGGTCTTTGAAACGGCTATTTCACACACAAAGGATACTGGCGAAGCTCGTACACACACTACAATTTAGCGCGAAGTAGTTCAGATACCCCTAGTGAGGGTGATCCACTTAGCTTGTTTCAATTGACTCTTATCACAAACCAGAGC